ACGAACGGTCACTTCAACTTGTCTTGGAAGCTATTGACAGGTTAGAAAATGATCTTTATGAGGAAAATAATGCCAATGCTGCATATAGTGCATTCCATAGTTTTATTATTGATGAAATGGAAACTAAAATAAACAAGGTAAAAACAAAAAGTAATACAAATAATAAAAAGAGCAGATCTGAACCATATTGGAACAATGGAATTAGTTTGTAAGCGTGGAAAGGGGTGGTTGAAAAATAAAACTGTTTTAACTAAACGACATTTACGTGCTATTTATAGAGAGTGCAGGAAAGACTTTGACAAAATGAACCGAAGGGCAAAACGTACATATTCTCTTGAAGAGCAAAATAGACTTGATACGTGATATTAAGAGCATAAAGGGATAGATTTTTGGAAATCTATTGGGAAGTTAGGTCTGGCCAATGATAGAAAGCAAAGAATTCCCTGTGAAGTATAGATGATAAAGACAATGATTTTTATGATAACAATGTTGTTCTTGATAAATGGAAAGATGCTTACCATCGCTTATATAACTCCCCACAAGATTCACAAAGTGAAGTTTTACTTTTATGAAAGATCGTTACCCTATGACCAACAGAAATATAGATATGTCTGCCTTAAATAAACCGGTCGACAGGTTGCAAGTCGTTGTAAATGCTAAACGTGGTAAGGCATGTGGCCTTGATGGTATACCCTCTGAGGTGCTTAGAAATGTTGACTAACTGTAGAATCATCAACTATTGTTTTAATAACGGAGCAGTGCCCTCCAAGTGGAATGAAGGTATTGTTAACCCCATACCTAAATCTGGTATGACTGATCCCCTTAACCCACTTGAACATCGGGGCATAACCCTTATATCAATTCCAGGCAAGATTATGCAGATGTTCTTAACACTTGGAGAAAATGACATTTTAGTCGATGAACAGAATAGTTTCCGTTCTAACAGAGATTGTATTGATCATCTTTACGTTTTATCGTCTTTAATTCAGACAAGAAAAGCAAAAAAGAATTCCACTTTTGTTTTCTTTGTTGATTTTAATCGATAATGCCTGTGGTTTAAATTGTTCCAACTTGATATAAAAGGCAAAATATTAGATGCCGTCCAGTCTCTCTATGACAATGTTAACTGTGTTGTTAAATTCAATGAACATTTTACTGATGCTTTCCCAGTGATATCTGGTGTAACACAGGGGCGCAGGTTATCCCCAACGTTATTTGCTGTTTATATAAACGACTTAGCCCATTGTATTAATAACTTCAACAGTGGTGTTCAGCTTGATGATGTAATGATATCAATTTTGTTATATGCAGATGATATAGGGCTTAGAGCGCCTGACGAAACGTCTTTGCAGACAATGTTGAATGTTTTAGATGTGTAGTGCAAACATTGGAAATTAACGGTAAATGCAAGTAAAACAAGTATTTGTCACAGAGTGACGAAATATCCCCCGCCTGTACACCATACTACCAAATATGAAGACAATCCAGCGATTAGTTCTTGAGATATTGTGGCAACACCGTTTTCCAACTCCAAAAACAGATTTGCCTGCTGTGACCTTGAAAATGGGGTCAAGGTCACCAAATCTGACAGGTGTATGCGGTGTCTGTATATACACTATAGTTCCAAATATGAAGACAATCCAGCGATTAGTTCTTGAGATATCGCGGCAACACCGTTTTCTAACTCCAAAAGCAGATTTGCCTGCTGTGACCTTGACAATGGGGTCAAGGTCACCAAAACCGACTGGTGTCTGCGGTGTCTGTATATACACCATAGTTCCAAATATGAAGACAATCCAGTGTTTAGTTCTTGAGATATCGCGGCAACACCGTTTTCCAACTCCAAAAGCAGATTTGCCTGCTGTGACCTTTAAAATGGGATCAAGGTCACCAAAACCGACTGGTGTCTGCGGAGTCTGTATATACACCATAGTTCCAAATATGAAGACAATCCAGTGTTTAGTTCTTGAGATATCGCGGCAACACCGTTTTCCAACTCTAAAAGCAGATTTGTCTGCTGTGACCTTGAAAATGGGATCAAGGTCACCAAAACCGACTGGTGTCTGCGGAGTCTGTATATACACCATAGTTACAAATATGAAGACAATCCAGTGTTTAGTTCTTGAGATATCGCGGCAACACCGTTTTCCAACTCTAAAAGCAGATTTGTCTGCTGTGACCTTGAAAATGGGATCAAGGTCACCAAAACCGACTGGTGTCTGCGGAGTCTGTATATACACCATAGTTCCAAATATGAAGACAATCCAGTGTTTAGTTCTTGAGATATCGCGGCAACACCGTTTTCCAACTCCAAAAGCAGATATGCCTGCTGTGACCTTGAAAATGGGGTCAAGGTCACCAAAACCGACTGGTGTCTGCGGAGTCTGTATATACACCATAGTTCCAAATATGAAGACAATCCAGTGTTTAGTTCTTGAGATATCGCGGCAACAAACAGGTGGGACGTACGGACGGACGTACGGTCGTACGGACAGACGGACGTACGGACGGACGGACGGACGTACGGACGGTCGTGAATACTATATCCCCCGCTTCGCGCTTTCGCGCGGCGGGGGATAACAAACATTGTACATTTTAGATGTCCTTCAGTGACGAAATCTAATTTTGTTTTCAAATGTAATGGTAATACCATGGAGTATGTAGAGTGTTATAGATACCTCGGTATTTGGTTCAACGAACATCTTGATAGAATTATGAAGAAATCTGTCAGAGAACAATAAATCTGCCAGTAGAGCACTGTCCTCTTTATTTTCTAATTTGGAGGCTGCTGGCGGCATGTCATATGATGTGTTCAAAAGGCTGTATGAAACTTTGGTTCAACCAGTTATGCTGTACGGCTCCGGTTTATGGGGCATTAACACACACAGAGAAATCTATAAATTGCAGAACAAAGCATGTCGCTTCTTTCTTGGAGTTGTTAAGAGAGCACCTAACCTGGCTGTTAACGCTGATATAAAATTGGCCAACTGTTATTACTGTCGCGAATGTTTTTAAGCACATTACATTACATTAAGTACATTAAGTTTTCAAGTGCAAATACTTGTAAAGTAAGCCAAACTTGTAAACATATGTTTAACAAGTCGAAACAATTTAAAACATCCTGGAGAAGCAAAGTTGAAAAATTGCCTGTAAGTTCAATGTAGACAAAGTCCTGTTATCTTCCATCCCTAAAAAGGCAAAAATACAAACATGCATTGATATTCTCACGCAAGATGATAAACAGAAATGACATTTGGGATGATAGAAATACCATAAATGGTAATAAGTTAAGAACATACAGGCTTTTGAAATCAGACTTGACTGTTGAGACTTATGTTTTTAAGCTTAGATATAAGGCCGTGTTTAGCTATGTTGCGATGTGGAAGTTTACCCCTTGCTACAGAAACTAGACGCTATTCTAGACCACCAACCCTATGTGATAGAATCTGTAAATACTGTTTTAATACTTTAAATATCCGCACTGTTGAAGGTGAAAAGCACTTTCTTATATGTTGTCCTTTTTATGAAAATTTAAGATATGAATTATTTTGTGAAGCTTCAAATGTATCCCAGATCTAGAGTTTTTATACCCTTGATGGTATGCATAAGTTATGTTTTATTGAAATCGGACGACTTACAGTGTTGTTTATCTAAGACCGTCATAGTAATGTATAAACGATTATTATCTTTTATGTGAATTGTTGTTAACAATTCTTATATTTAGTGCTGAAATTGTTATATGTTTTCATCGTGTCTCATGAGCCCTATGGCTGGGCGTTACATATTTTAATTATGTATTGAGTTTGTATGTAATTAATTTGTAACATTGTGACACGCAAATAAACTCTCTCTCTCTCTCTCTCTCTCTCTCTCTCTCTCTCTCTCTCTCTCTCTCTCTCTCTCTCTCGCTCGCTCTCTCACTCGCTCTCGCTCTCTTTCTCTCTCTCTCTCTCTCTCTCTCTCTCTCTCTCTCTCTCTCTCTCTCTCTCTCTCTCTCTCTGTATCCAAAAAATTAGATCAGATTTTTCGTGTCGGTCGATATATGTTTTACACTTCATTCAGCGTACCTGCGCACACGTGGGGATTCCCCAACAACCCGTGTTGCTTGTCGTACAAGGCGGCTGAATGAATCGGGTGGTCAGGCTCGGTGACTTGGTTAATTTTGTGTCATCGTATCCCGACTGCGTGATGCGTTGCTCATAGTATCAATCACTGGTTTATCTGGTCCCACTCGATTATACATACAAACTGTTAAACATAACATACGTACCTGTGTCAAACAGGTGAACTGCCATAAAAAGCGCCACTAGAAAGGGAAAAAATGGCATATACTTGTAAACCTATTCATTGGGATCGCTATTAAGTAAGAGACTTCTTTCTATAGGCATTAAATCCTATTGTGAGGTTTTACTTTCCAGTCGGGTTAAATCTCATAAACAGGGACGTTATAATGTCCCAGGGATTTTATATAATGTCCTGGGTATTTTATAAATATAACTTCCGTTCAGATTGTAACATGTAATTAAATGTAAAATCAAATGACAAATGTTTTCTTTATATTCCCGAGGATCGGACTCGCAACTTTCATATCTGTAGCCCAGTGGGTGTACCACGAGGCCAATGAGGTGCTGATAAGCCTCGCTGTTTTTTAGAATGTCTTTTTCAAGATCCGTACGCCAGCAACAGATATTTTACGTCACTTCACGATATGGGAACTTGATATGGGAGGAAAGAGTGAGTTGGGTTTAACTCCGCTTTTCACAGTATTACAGTACATGGCGTGTCAGCTTAATGTGGGAGGAAGGCCCGATGTGATGAAGGTTTCAGACGTTTGCCACTTCGGTGAAACCCACAAGCACGGTAGTAGTACTGACAAGGGACGCAACTCCGCACAGCGAATTGCGGCGCTTTAGACGGTTTGGCTTCCCGTGAACCGTAAGGAAAGACAACGGCAACGCAAACGCTCCAACAAATTTTCCCCAGCATCCACCCGCTCCCACATGTATTCCCCAGCATCCACCCGCTCCCACATACATTCCCCAGCCCCACCCGCTCCCACATATATTCCCCAGCATCCACCCGCTCCCACGTGTATCCCCCAGCATCCACCCGCTCCCACATGTATTCCCCAGCATCCACCCGCTCCCACATATATTCCCCAGCATCCACCCGCTCCCACATCTATTCGCAAGCATCCACCCGCTCCCACATATATTCCCCAGCCCCCACCCGCTCCCACATATATTCCCCAGCATCCACCTGCTCCCGCATATATTCCCCAGCCCCCACCCGCTCCCACATATATTCCCCAGCATCCACCCGCTCCCACATCTATTCCCAAGCATCCACCCGCTCCCGCATACATTCCCCAGCCCCCACCCGCTCCCACATATATTCCCCAGCATCCACCTGCTCCCGCATACATTCCCCAGCCCCCACCCGCTCCCACATATATTCCCCAGCCCCCACCCGCTCCCACATATATTCCCCAGCATCCACCCGCTCCCACATCTATTCCCAAGCATCCACCCGCTCCCGCATACATTCCCCAGCCCCCACCCGCTCCCACATATATTCCCCAGCATCCACCTGCTCCCGCATACATTCCCCAGCCCCCACCCGCTCCCACATATATTCCCCAGCACCCACCCGCTCCCACATATTTTCACTAGCTGCCCCCTTTCCTATATATATTCCCCACCCCCCACCCATAAGTCCAATACAGGAATCAAATGATGTGAGTACACACAATGCATCTATGATTTCTAGACAAGTGTGTTTAAAGCCGTGCAATACCTTTCCTCGCCTTTGACTTTTCACTGTTTCATAAGTGCCTAATTTGGGACACATGTTTTAAATGTGTGTGGTGTTCAGTCTGAATCAACCAGAAACAGTTCTTTATATGCAAACTGACGCCAACGCATAAGATAAGGCATCAACTGTGAGAGGTCAGAACGAGGGCTGCCGGTATCCAAAATATATGTCATACAAATGTCCAACTGAGATTATATTATCGCAAAGTTTAATCCGTGTCTCGGTATTGACAGAATAATCTACATGACGAGGTTGGCTAGCTTCAAACATATGGAGCCCAGGAGAAACGCAACTTCCTTCCCGGTTGAAAGTGAACGCTTCGATCAATACCGCTACGACCAATCAAGAATGCTATTGGGTATGTATATATATTTCTTAAATGTGTAATAAAACCGACAAGGGGGGACTACATCTACGTGCCTGAGAGAATTGGGTTTTACGCCGCTTTTAGCAATATTCCAAGAATATCACGGCGGGGACAACAGAAATTGGCTTTACACATTACCCATCTGGGGAATCGAAGCCGGGCTATCGACGTAGCGAGGAAAGGCTATATAACCACTTGGCTACCCTACCGCTATCGCATGTTATATAACTAAGAAGAGTTAGTATAGGCTCTATTCCGTCTTTAGCCATAGTCTAGCTACATCATGAGTGAGTGAGTGAGTGATTATGGTTTAACGCCGCTTTTAGCACTATTCCAGCAATATCATGGCGGGGGACACCAGAAATGGGATTCACACATTGTACCCATGTCGGGAATCGAACCCGCGTCTTCGGCGTGACGAGCGAACGCTTAACCACTAGGCTACCCTTCCGCCAAGCTACGTCATGACATGAGACACCACGAATATAGGCTTCACATACTGGACCAAAGTTTGAGACTCCGACCCTCGTCTCAGGCCTTCACAAATATCGTTATCGCAACAGAAACACATACACATTTGTTGAAAGGAGATCGCTTTGATAAGGACCCTACCCGCCTACCTGACCTACATAAATTAAGATATCAACAAGACTTTTATAAATCGTTATGAATCATAACTTATAGGATGTGTTCTTAGGAATAAAACACTGAACGTAGATAGAAGTATAAGTATTTGGCGTTTCCAGTGGGAAACAGAATGGCCCATAATACCATTGATAACCTTTATTAGCAGTGTTATTAATTATGATATGTTATGTTTTGATAATTCATATTTTAGGTGCACCTAGCCCAGGTCTATCTCTCGTAGATCGTAGAGACAGGAGGCGGTGGGGTAGCTACGTAGTTAAAGTGTTCGCTCGTCACCGCGAAGGCCCGGGTTCGATTCCTCATAACGTGTGAAGCCCATTTCTGGTGTTCTCCGTCGTGAAATTGCTGGAATATTGCGCGGTTATTATATATTTAAAAACGTAATACTTTAAGTTCCAAGTTCCTTTATAATAAAACACACTTTATACATTGTCACACTTCTAAATTAGTTTTGTTTGCTTGTTGTTCAGCAATGTTCTGGTTATATGAGGGCTGTCTGATACACTCGAGTCTTGATCGGGCTAACCAGTGATTTTGGGAATGAGAAACACGTTCAACAAAGTAACCATCCGATCCTAAAGTCGCCTTCTACGACAGGCATATGCTCCGCATTTTCATGTATATTCGAATACCTTTGTTTGACTAGATATTGCATGTACTTGTATTTCCATATTACGAAATTAATATCTTACAACTACATGCAAATATTTAAGAAGTTGCACAAAAAACATCCTTTTTAGAAAAATACAAGGAATACTTACACTACAATCAGGATCGAACCTCATGAGTGGCTGTTACTTTAATGCGTATGTCAAATGAACAGAATTTAGAGTTACGTCCCTTACCGGATGTAATTCATTGTCATGGCGGCGTCCTTCAAACTTTTGGATTAATCTATCACAGTGTCAATTTCTCAAGATAGAATCATGTCACGTCAATCAAATTAATGCGACAAATCGAGATTGATGATGCGTTTTGAAAAAATAGCCTCTCATCAATACAGCAATGTTCATTTAAGATTGCATCATTCTCGAAGTTTCCACAGGTGTGATGACAGTTTTCGTCTGCATGCTTGTTTGGGGAAATCCCCAGGTGTTCTAAACTAGGGGATGATGGACAAAATCGGTTATCATGCATAAACGATGTAAAGCATAGACCGCGCAAGTCAGCACAACATTCAGACGCGTGCAGGTAAGTTCAGACAGTTGATTTATGACCAGCTGGTGACTGATACTGTCTAAAAAACATGTCTAATAATACTTTATTCATGAGCCTCCATGTTCAGTCATAGCCAAATTTACATTTTTCTTTAAACAGTAATAATTTCCATTGCCATATTAAAACACATGATAGACATATCTATCTACAGCCTAACTTTCCCTTCTTCACCAAGTTTTTAAAGTTGTTTTCGGCTATGTTTGACTGTGAGTGAATATTGCTTTATGTAATGTCAGCAATTTCGCAGGGATTTGTAGCCAATACATATGATATAAGAAACATCTTCATACATATGCATTATACCGGACACCAATCTGCCATGTTTGTTTGATGCTACCGATAAAGTATTTTGTATCTACTTTGGTAATTAAAGATTTCATTTACTGACGAAAGTCTTTAATTCAAGTCGTGGAGTAGGGGGCAAGGCCCCCAAACCCCCTGGTGTTTTAGCAAGACGACAAAAATGGCATCTGAAAAACATAGAAACCGTTACTAAGGAATGAGGTGTGCACATCCCTTACCAAAATTGCAGAAGGTGTCCAATATACTGCATTCTGGCCAACATCTTACTCTAGTTTGTTGATCTCCATTGTATGTGAATGTAATGTGTTATTCTCCATGATGTTTACATGATTAAGATACAGTATCTTTCTACAGGTGAAAAATGCCAGGCAACAAAAGCTTGACGAGGAGTTTAGGAACTAAAACTTCATTCTCAAGAAAGGGGGCTCTGCAGCCCTTTAGGAACCTTGATGGTAATTATTTTCTCAGACTATAAATTATTTTCTCGGACTATTAATTATTTTCTCGGACTAGAAGTGGACCTTTGAATATTGAATTGCCGAATGGCTTCCACTTTAGCATGTGTTAGCTGCATGGGACTGGGACAAGTCCAACTTTACTATCCAGGTACCCAACCCCCTATTACCAGACACTAACTAGCCTTGTACCCACTGTAGGTCTCAAGAGTTTGGAACAAAATGGCTGACTGGTAGTTGTTTCACCAGAGCCAACTAACAATTGAAGTTCAGGAGGTATGCATACATCATCGGAAATAAATGCAAACATTAGCAACTTGTAGTGTAACTATGGAGTTTTATTTTTAATATCATTAAACAATACATCATATGACTAACCACGGGCCGGGGTAGTACACAAGTAACCCTTACCACCTCTAGTGGTACGTTAGGTTCTGTTTCATCTTGGTGTTAGCACAAATTGTTATTAAAAAAACAACACTTTATATTGACATGTAAGTATTGAAATATCAATTTCAGATTCTGATTTAAGAGGCATCAGTGGCAATCGTCCACCTCCCCTGTCGATACCACATGTACAAGATGTGCCCAGGGAGTCACGAGAGATTGTCTTACCAGGGCAGGTTCAGACCCACCTGTTGATCACTTCTCTCCTTGAACAGATGTGCCTCATGGCTGTTGAGGATCCAAACATGGCAAATCAACTTTTTACCAGTAAGATTTAAGGCTTTAGATAGATTCTGGAGAGACATTCTTGTTGCTTTTACTTGGTTCTAGTATTAACTCATCCTTTCTTAATTTCTTGGCACTGCACCTTACATGTCAGGCCTCAAAGTTGCGACTAAACCCCAATCTCATTAAAATCAGATCTTATAATTAGTTCTCGCTACCGCTAAACAAAGATCTGAGGACATCCCATTACGGGTCACATCAGACCAACCTTGCGCGAACTTTGACCGACCAATGGAATGACCAATCAGGAGGCAGCTTTCTAATGCTTTACGGCACAAATTTCAAATTGGCAACTACGCTTCAAACATATTTTGACAAATTCTCGATTACAAATTTGAAACCTGAACAAAAAAACATTCTGGAATTGCTAATAGATGGTCTAGATTGTAAGGATTCAGTCGTTGAACCTGTAACTATCATTCGGAATACCCCATGTTAAAGTTTTTGAGATTGCAAGATAAGAAATCACATTCTGAGTGTCACTTTCATAATCTAGTAAGCGACGCACTGATTGGTCGGATGAAAGGTCGTTCTGACGTGACCCCTAATGGGATGTCTTCAGATCTTTGTTTAGCGGTAGCGAGAACTAAGGTCTGATTTTAATGAGATTGGACTTAACCCGTAACCAATGTGACCTAAATTTCAGTTTGTCTACTGTCTAAAATTCAGAGGTAGCCAAATGACTACCTAGAAAAATATCTTGTGGCGACTAAATTCTATTGTTACACATCTGTAGACACAAAACTAAATAACAGCTGATATTGGAAAACATGTCTGCTCATAATTGTACTCGCAAATAATTCCTTCTAAAGTTGACAATGAACCAAAATACATAAAAATTAATGTAATTAGTACTTTATTTTAGTTGACAATGCTCATTGGATAAGCGAGGATATCCCTATATAATCTAGTAACATAAATTGCATCATTGTTCAAGTCACATGTAACAAAATTAAAGTAGAGTTTCCATTAAGATACAATTTCAAGACTTGAGCTGTAGCTTGTACATATTATAATAGTTATTTGATAAAGATAATTTCAAATGTTTTTGGCTACCTACTATATTGGCTTGATTCTTGATTTTACCCCTGGCTACCTGGAAAAAAATACTTGTAGCCATATGGCATGATATGGCTACTTGGTCAAAATTTAAACTTTGAGGCCTGCATGTTTGAACATTTAATTGTGGCATATCAAACTTCCGTAATTATTCTTCCATAATATTATTTGAATTTATTATATTTATCCCATGTCAAAATCTTTCAAAGACAAAATGTCTTGTGTTATCCAAATGGCCATTTAAAAACATTAAGCAAACATGTTTAGAAATTATTCCAATCTACATATACATGTATCATGATATATGCATACAGTGTTTCAATTTAACATGAAAGTCAAGTGTTTCTTGTTGTAAGCCTAATGTTAAAAGTAAAATTTTAGGGGATACTTGAATTCAAATATTCTGGTAAAAGGGGGTTTCCGATGATAAAGCATTTTATCAAATAATGTGTAGGTTTCTCGGCAGGATAAAGCCAACAAATAAAATGATATCCGTTGGGATCATATGCTGATAGAGATGCAAATATCAAAGGTCAAATAGGACTTCTTTCAGTGTTTAGAAACAAATATGGCGTCGCCCTTGTCATTCGGCGATCGTGTTAGAATTATAACCATAAGGAATCTGGAGAAACTACTGGGATAATTGCTATCATTATCAAAAGCATATTCTAATATACTGAAAATCAATGTCTAACTGTGATGTAGCTAAGGCGTTTTACAAGTTTTAGCAACTTTAGACATATAAATGGTGAAACAATTCTACAAGGACACTAGCCAAGTGGGATCAGTTTCCAACACTCCATAGCTGTTATTGTAGATCTCCATGACTTGGAACCTTTTCCCCAAATTAAAACAGTTGGATTTGGCCAAAATATGTTAAAATTGTTACCTTGTTTTGTTTTTTCGCTGTGTGTACGTCTGACTGCACTTCGTAACATTATGACAGGACAGACTAAACAAACATGACGTCTCACAGGCTAGGGTTAGAGTAGCTTCCCTTTGATAAAGGGCAGTTACTCTAGCGGGACAGACCGATAGATTGCAGGGTCATTCGAAACTTTGAAACGTGTAAGTACACTGACATCTCGATGTTCCAAGTAATTGTCGGAATTACTGATGGAATTCCATTTGGGATTTGCATTCAATGAGTAGATTGTCCCCTGCCTCTGTTGTGCATGCTCCCGAATGCTGTACAACAGCCAGCTGGGGGAGGCAACTGAATTAGGGCAGGGAACAAGTCTAATCAATTGAGGAGTTGTGTGGAGGGAGGTAATTACAAATTATTTTCGAAACATGGTACATCTTCTAACTTTCTAACTTTCGTACTTGCCCAAGGGCAACTAAATTATGTTTTTCCGCTTGCCAAGCACTATGTTTTCACGGGTTGGGCAGGTTGGTATACTGATTGAACACGCATGAACCCTTACTACGTGTAGTTGAAGGAAGTGCTTTCTGATAGCAAGTTTTTTTGTTATGAAACTTAGACTAATTTTATAATTGTTTGTCGTAGTGATATGTCAGCAGTTGGCGAAGTTGAGGGTTATCTCCCCCCTGACCTTCATTGATGAAATGAGCAGTTCTAGGGCCCGATACCGACTCACTCTACACAACATGATACATAAGGCAAAGCGAGACATGTTCAAGGTAAGACCAACCTTTGAAATTCAAGTTAGTCCGCAAGACCGAGACTACTAAAGTTTTCTAAGAACAAATCAGAATCCAGTGATGGTAGTCCACTGTGACTAGTTGCATTGAGGGTTATAATTCAAAACCAATTCTCAGTGCTTCAATTCTGCTACAAATTGGAACTGAATAAAACTGACTGAAAATCGAACAAAGTAAACATTCTTGTTCAAGCAGAACTTGGTACTCTGAGGACTAGTGAAATATGGTTTGTACTAGTCCTCTGGACTAGTCTCAAAAAAGAATCCTGAAGCTGAAGATGATATTCTCTGTCCATTTTCAACCTTTGTGGCCACTCAGTTATGACAAAGGACATGGTCTTCAGGATTCTGTTGATTATGAGATATCTTAAGTTTGATCATCGGTTTTGTAAATATTTACTGGCAAGCTATCTTGGAGAAGTCTGAAGACCCCAATCAAATATGTCAGCTTGACCATATTTTTAAGTTCATGAAAAAAGAAAAAAGAAGCCCAACATGCCAGTTGGACTTTGGATGTTTTTGCTGCACATTTAAGTATGTGCAGATCACCTACCTTTTTTTGAAGCCATGGTGGGTGCTGGTGTAAAATTGCTCCCCAGGAAGCATTGTTCACAATATCAATCACTGGATTGTCTGGTCCAGACTCAATTATTTACAGATTGTCATCATTTAGCTGGAACATTACTGAGTGCAGTATTACACAACAAACAACCTTCTTTTGAGTAAGTTTCTATAAACTGAACCTCTGTTTGGCTGCTGCACAACTGGCAGGTATTGTACGTTGCAATGCTTCTGGTGCAAGTATTAACCCAATCAAAAAAACCTCTCCCTCTCACGGTATTGTATGGATTTTCTCTTAAACACCACGATACCCAAAATATTATACCATATAAACAATGATAAACAGAATCAAACAATACAACCATCTTTTAAATATCAATAACGCAATGGAACCTAACGAGCACCTCAGTTGTGCTAAATGAATATAAAAATGCAGATAATTATATGCATGCTTTGTTTTGTTTGTTTGTTGTTTAATGCTGAACTCAGCAATATTCCAGCTATATGACAACGGTCTGTAAATCATAGAGTCTGGACCAGACAATCCAGTGATTGACATCATGAGTATCAATCCAGCACATGGGATACTAAGACATGCATCAACCAAGGCAGCGAGCCTGACTACCCGATCCCGTTAGTCGCTTGTATGTCAGTAGGACTTGAAATGTCTTATGCATTGCGACACAGGGTTTGTAACTGATGTTTTGTAGCGTAAGCCTTGTAACACGTTACAATACTGTATTGCTGTCTCGTAACACCACTAATGCAATTATATATCGTCCCTTTAGATACAGAGCCATGGTTTGGATTATCAAGAGCAATGTGTCATTTCAAAGTAATTCCCTGAATCAAAATTATCCGAAAACTCCCAAGCAATTCTGTGGGCAAGTCTGGATTCCTTCAATTTCAGGCCTGAAAATGAATGGATTTCCTGGGTTGCTTTCTATGATATATTAAAAGACAATTTTACAAATAATGAATTCGATAATGTTCTTATATAAAAACTAAATCTCAGTATACAACATTGGCTGACATGTGATGATTTAAACTTTATTAATTTTCAGCAAACCGCTGGTTTACCCCCAATTCTCATGAAACTCCACTGGGCTGACACACCAAGGTAGGATGCTGTTGAATACAATTTGGCAATTGTGAAATGTCTGTGTAATCCTTGTTTTGTCTTTTTGTGTCTTGTTTATGCCACACTCAGCAATATTTGAGCTATATGATAGCAGTCTGTAAATAACCAAGTCTGGACCAGACAATCCAGTGATTGACATCTTGACCATCAATCCACGCAATTGGGATGGATATGATGACATGCATCGACCAAGTCACCGAGCCTGACCACACAGTCCCGTTAGTCGCCTGATGTTAGACCCCATTACACTTCAACTTGTCTAGTCCAGATTCAATTACTTTACAGGCTGCTGTGATATAGCAGTTTTCACTGACTAGAGCATGGTATATAAGTATATTGTCTCAATTTTATTAAGGTAAATATTTCAGGTCTAATATGTTCAGCAAGAACATTTTATAATGCATTTCTCAAATAAGGATCTATTGTCACCTTATAAAAATGGAGTTTTCACATGATTTTATTTACAGCCAACAATTATTAATCTAGCATAAGGAAGGAATATTAGCAAAATGTTGAATTTTAAAATTGAACACAGATCTACTGACTTTTTTGCAGGCTGTCTGAAATGCCGCTGGTAGCTCAGAGCATACAGAGTCTGGCCATGCAGGATTCTAGGTACAGACATGAATTTGTTGAAATCTGCCGACTAGGGAAAGGAGGATTCGGTTCAGTTTTCAAGGTAATATTTGAAGCTATTACTTTTTTCTACTGATGTGTCATGATTACTAGCTGATGTCAAGTGTTCGAAATTAGCACCTGTGTAAGAGTGAATATTATCCTACCCTATTTTTTATCCCAGGGATGAAATCCGCTTGTGTCAGGATGATTCTCCCTAGTGAATTTGAACCCATACCAGTGTGGCACAAGGTAGAATACTATACTCTTGAGTAAAACTTCCCCCGGGATAATATTTAGGTAGGATAAAATCCTTGCTTACACCTGCATGTAGACCTGTGGCTAGTAGATCCCATGTTGGGTCCGTAGTTTCAAATTTATATAGGTTCTTATGTCCTGCAGTATATTTACGTGTTGATTTATTTGTCACGATAAGCTGCAGTTTCTTAAATAAGGACCTGAAGAGTTTAGTCAGGGCCTGCAGCTTCTAAAGTCTGTGGGTCCTGATGGCAGCCTGGCATTTTCTGTATTCCAAACACTTGCTCATGCCAATATTAAGAATGAAAAATGTTCTTGACAGTCATGCTGGCATTCTTGCAAAAATATCCCTTGTATTTAATTTGTGCTTTCAGACCAGAAAAAAAAGAGGAGATTTTATGGATCGGGTGGTCAGGCTCGGTGGCTTGGTTGTTAGTGTGTCAACATGCCATCGTTGCTCATACCATCTATCTCTGGGTTGCCTGGTCCAGATTCGAATATTTGCAGACTGCTAACATATAGCTGGAATATTGCTGAATGCAGCATTAAACAAAAAAACAAAACAAAATCAGACCAGGAAATGAAAATTCTGATGCTTGGCAGTGTGTTAAAACAGTTCAACCTTCGCCAATGTTTAGCTCTCCTTGATATTGTACATGTTGTCAGATTATGTTACAGGTTAGTTTTACATCAACTTTACTTCCATTGGCACTGTATTCAAAAGTTTTCACAAAAAGTTCTTGGTATTTCAAAATCATAAAAACACAATAATTGTCCCTTGGACCCCTTGGACATTTTGCCTGCAGAACTTACTTTGTTTTCTATACTTTAACTATAAAATAACAAACAATCTGATAGTGTTTGAGTTTGAAATTAGATTTCAATACTTTTATTTTTTCAGGCCAAAAATCGACTTGATGGAAGAGAGTATGCTGTGAAAAAAGTCAAGTTCAAACATAGAAATGCAGGACTACTTTTAAAAGTAAATATTCACCTACTTTTATTGAGGAGCTCTTTTGTCATCATTATTCAGACATGTATGATACTATATCTTTTACTTAGCCTGCATAACATTATGCACATTGTTGCTTTCAGATCGAAAGTATCCATGGAAAGAAGACTCAGAGAATTGTATTCTTGATATGAATAGAGTTGTTGAACCAGGAGTAATGACCGCTCCCTGGAGTTACCTCCCATTCCCCTCTCTGTATTCATTGTTGCATTGGCTGTTGCACGGAGCTCAGAAAGATTGTTCAACTTTACCCTTATCCTTTTAATTTTGGGTTTTATTTTCTAGTTGGTACCTTATATTTTTACAATACACACCATACCAATGGATTGTATGACATAGTTATTCCATTTGTTGGAATTTTGCAGCCATATGTTTTACTCTACACATTTTTCTCTTCTGTTTTTTTCCCGCCATTTTTGTTAGCTCACCTATTTGGTTTCCCACTGTTAGCATGAGGCCAAGGGATCAGGTTCACCGCCTATATCGACAACTGCCGGATGTATGATCAGCTGGCTTTCACTCTTGATTTCCTACATCTCTCCCTAGACAGATGGCAGGATATATCCGACCACAAAGACTATGTCAGCGCCCAGTACTGCTAGACCTGACTTTCTGCTTCTATCGCCTGATAGACCATCATTCTAACAGGCCAGAGTGAGACACATCCCGAGCTGCTGAAACTTCCTAGCCGGCCATCACCGGCATCCAACCCCAGATAGCTTCCAGCTACATACCTGAAGCATCTGCAAAAGTGTCGTCAGCAAAGGACTACTCTAGACAAGCAGCTAAGGCAGTAACCTGAGCCCACCAGGACCCCTACAACGCCCAGTGGGAGACATTCGGCCTACAGCAGCGTCCTCAGTTCATGACAGACGCTTCCTGTGATTCCCCTACGTACCACAAAATTCTCCACTGGCTCCCTACGAACCTTGCCCCCCCCCCTCCACCCTTCGGATGTCTCTCGCAGAATATGGGCTTTTTCCTGGCATTGGCTTTAGTAGCCTGAGTCAGCACGAGCTGTTCGCCCTTAATGTCACCAGAGTTCAGTTCGAACAACGCAGACAGGGTTCCATACATCTTGGCCTATGTTGCAACTTTATAGCTGAGAATCAACAACCAGACCATCCTGACAGGCACTTCACTCTCCTCCATGGTCAGATCCTAAGACAAGGAAGAACTTATATTATGCTCCATCAGAGCGATAAAAGCCTATTTACCAGCATCGGCCCCAAGATGGGAAACTGGACATCGTCTCTTTCACCCCACGGACAGGACCTGTGCAGGTGACTTCACCAGAAACAAAGTCCTGGCAACCTACGGCATTGCGCAACTCGAACCTCCCAGGGCAAATATCCCAACGAGAGCAGGGTGTTTGCATCCACCTCGACTTTACATGGCAGCTGCTCTGTTCAGTCAATCATGCAGGATTGCCTCTGGGAATCAAACACAGGCATACTCAGTTTTAGACTGTTGGTGGTTGCACAACATGCTGTCTGCCGTCCTGTCCCCTCGTCGCCACTGTTGTCTATGCTCGTGGGACGAAGGCAGAATAAGTGGACTTTTTTGCCTTCATACTCTATACTACCCTATAAGACATTCACCTTGAATGCGACAGTCATTGGGAAAGTACTGCTGATTGTTTAATATGAAACCCGCAGGCTAGTACATAGAGAGTAATGATGCCTGCGTCCTCCCACCACTGTTCTGCTGTTCTGTGGGAAGGGTGATTGCATAGTATATGACACTTTACTACTGCTTTCATGGATGCAGAAGTTACACGTCATTCATTTACTATTCTTCATGTTAACTACATTTTACTCCTGCTTTCATGAGGGTTGAAGTCAGAATTAGTTTACTTACTTCTTGATGCCATGCTCTCTACATCCCTCAGACATTTACCCTGCATGCAACAGTCATTTTGACATGCAAAATTTTCTTACAAAATCTGCAGTCAAGTACAAGGAAGTACATAGAGAGCACTGACTTCTGCGTCCTCCCCCATATGTCTGCTATTCAGTGGGAGGGGTGAATTTGTACTAAACCACGCTTCATTCATTCACTATTCCCCGAATATTTGAAAGTTTGTTTGGGGAAACAACACTATTTCAATGTTTTTCCATAAGAAATTCATCTGTAATAGTTATCACAAGTGTCACACTTTGTGTCTCACACACTTACAAGACTGGACCCATCGATTCGAGTCGATATCAGTGCGACATATGTCACCTGTAGGTGCAACCAATCAGCTGTCAGGATGTTGCTGATGTCACCATCGTGTGTTGCTCTTATAGTCTGTCCTGAAGGTATGCACTACTGCCTACCGACTGATACAGGCTTATGCACAATGTAATGCAGGCTAAGTAAAAAATATTAGAATATCAGAATATATTCTCTATTTAATACTTAACAGTGAGTTAGCTTGCAATACATGTCTCACTGCCCTTCCTTGGACTTACGTCTTCCTCCCTGCTTGTACTTCAGGTGGACTCACGAAACTCAATGACTACAAACTTCAACAACTTTATTTTTATCAAGTATACAATCCTTTGGGTCTTCTTTCCATGGATACTTTCGACCTGAAATCAAAATCGACAGGCTCAGTATTAAATAGAGAATATATTCTGATATTTTAATTATTCTCTTGACATTTCAGCTCTTACGAGAAGTAAAGGCATTAGCAGGTCTCACACACAGCAATATTGTTGGCTACAATGCAGCATGGCTAGAACATGGCAGTGAGTATGAAGTAAATGAAGATCGCCTTGATCAGATACCTATTTTTATACCCTGCCATGAAGTGGAAGGGGAATATACTATATTCAGTATAGGAATGGGTGCTGTCCGTCCATCCTTCTGTCTTTTGTAAGGTTTCGTTTCCAGAGCAGAACTCAAAAATCATGAGAGACATCTAAACCAAACTTGGCACATAGGTAGGTCATATCGGTGAACTGGTGCCTTTTGATAGTTTGAGATTTTTGAAAAAGTATTTTTCAAGTTTCCATGGCAACGACTTTGACTTAGATTGAAAATAGCAGAATGTGCTCCTTTCCAGAGCAGATCTTGAAATCTGTACGATATTTCTTCAACAAACTTGGCACATAGATAGGTCTAGTGATGAACTGGTGCTTTTTGACAGTTTGGGTTTGTTTTTTGTTTTTTTAAATTATTTTTAGAGTTTTATAGCAACAATTTTGCCTTAGGGGCTAATGCCTTGCACACAACCGGACATGTCATATTAGTAGGGGATATGAGTATTTTATGCTTGTGTACTCTGTGAAAGTACCGGGTTAAAATGGATCCCCAGAAACCTGTCTGGAGGCCAGACTTTGTGAATTGGTTGATTGAGTGTCATTGAATCTCTGACATGGAAATTTGCTCATTTCAGTCACTGTTTTTACTTGCCTGGACAGGCCAGAGTGACATAACTGGAAATTTGTTCTCACTCACATCCTCACAGTCTCACTCATGTCCTCACTCACGCCCTCACTTACGCCCTCACTTAAGTCCTCACTCGCATCCTGACTCCCACTCGCATCCTCACTAATGCCCTCACTTAAGTCCTCAATCGCATCCTCACTCACGCCCTCACTTAAGTCTTCAATCGCATCCTCACTCCCACTCGCATCCTCACTCATGCCCTCACTTAAGTCCTCAATCGCATCCTCGCTCACGCCCTCACTTAAGTCCTCATCACATCCTCACTCATGCCCTCACTTAAGTCCTCAATCGCATCCTCACACATGCCCTCACTAAGTCCTCAATCGCATCCTCACTCATGCCCTCGCTTAAGTCCTCAATCACATCCTCACTCATGCCCTCACTTAAGTCCTCAATCGCATCCTCACTCCCACTCGCGTCCTCACTCACGCCCTCACTTAAGTCCTCAATCTCATCCTTGCTCCCACTCGCATCCTCACTCACGCCCTCACTTAAGTCCTCAATCGCATCCTCACTCCCACTCGCATCCTCACTCATGCCCTCACTTAAGTCCACAATCGTATCCGCATTCCCACTCGCATCCTCACTCATGCCCTCACTTAAGTCCTCAATCGCATCCTCACTCCCACTCGCATCCTAACTCATGCCCTCACTTAAGTCCTCAATCGCATCCTCACTCACGCCCTCACTTAAATTCTCAATCGCATCCTCGCTCCCACTCGCATCCTCACTCACGCCCTCACTTAAGTCCTCAATCGCATCCTCACTCTCACTCGCATCCTCACTCACGCCCTCACTTAAGTCCTCAATCGCATCCTCACTCCCACTCGCATCCTCACTCACGCCCTCACTTAAGTCCTCAATCGCATCCTCGCTCCCACTCGCATCCTCACTCACGCCCTCTCTTAAGTCCTCAATCACATCCTCACTCCCACTCGCATCCTCACTCACGCCCTCACTTAAGTCCTCAATCGCATCCTCACTCCCACTCGCATCCTCACTCAAGCCCTCACTTAAAAGTCCACAATCGCATCCTCATTGCCTCACTGATGTCGTAATGTCCTCACTCACTTAGTTTCAGGTCCTCAGACGTCCAGTCACACCAGCCACACCTCAGATGACAGCAGCTCATCCTCAGAGAGGTCAGATTTATGTGATGAAATGTTAGTAATAGAGGGCTCTTATGTTTGGAATAGAGGGCTCTGATGTTTGTAATAGAGGGCTCTAGTGATTGTGATAGAGGGCTCTGATGTTTGTAATAGAGGGCTCTAGTGATTGTCATAGAGGGCTCTGATGATTGTAATAGAGGGCTCTGATGTTTGTAATAGAGGGCTCTAGTGATTGTGATAGAGGGCTCTGATGTTTGTGATAGAGGGCTCTGATGTTTGTGATAGAGGGCTCTGATGTATGTGATAGAGGCTCTGATGTTTGTGATAGAGGGCTCTGATGTATGTGATAGAGGGCTCTGATGTGTGTGATAGAGGGCTCTGATGTTTGTAATAGAGGGCTCTGATGTTTGTGACAGAAGGCTCTGATGTTTGTAATAGAGGGCTCTGATGTTTGTGATAGAGGGTTCTGATGTTTGTGATAGAGGGTTCTGATGTTTGTGATAGAGGGCTCTGATGATTGGGATAGAGGTCTCTTATGTTTGTGATAGACGGTTTGGATGTTTGTAAAAGACTCTGATCTGTGTAGTAGATCGGTTAATGTATGTAGTAGGTCAGTTATATGTTTGTAGTAGTTGAGTTAAATGTTTGTTATGGATGCCAATAAGAGAACTTAGTTGACTCTTGCTCTGTGGAATACACAACAGCACAAATCACTGACACAGAACAAAATTTTAGTAGGAAATAATTAAAACTATAAATGCTTGTTCCAGTGAAAGTTTTGGTCGCCAAGGCAACAGCCCAAGTGTCAGCATTGTATTTGGAAGCACCAACACAGGAGATAACTTGGATGACAGACATGGCCCCAAGATTCTGGAGCTGGATCCAAGTTATACAAATTCTGATATAGGACACAACGTAAAATTAACTTCCAACTATCTCAATATACCTCAGGCATCACATTCCAAGTCACTGAGCGTGTTTCAGCGACAGAAGAGTGCCAACAGTTTCTTCACTGCCACCAAAGTATTGACGTATGGTGTGTCAGAGAAGAACTGCAACACCAACACAGGCAGTGACGTGGTGTTCGCCGAGAGTCATTATCAAGAGACTGGGGCAATAACAAGCACGAGGAGGGTGTATCGCAGGAGTATCAGCTGTGAACCTATTCCAAGTACTGAGAAGTCTTTTGGGAACACGATGGATCGAGATGATTTTGATGGGGATAATTCTCCTTTTGCTGTGAGTATTTGTTTTCACTGATAACTAGGTACATTGTACTAATAAATTTAATTTTACATTCTTGTCTGGAACGGGTTAATAGTTAACATTGCAATTGTTTGGTTTAGCTTTTCCTGTTAAAATGTAACTCTCCTCAGTCAATTTCATATACCATATTCGACGTAATAAGCACCCAGGGCGCTCTCAAAATTAGAAATAGGGGGCTCTTATTAGAATATTATTTTGAATATATTTTGTTGAAAGATAAATTTTGTGGTTTCTGCTGACAGCCTGAAATGTTTATGTACGACAGATATATTTTTCCAGAATTTAATTGCCAATAATAAAGGGTGCATATAGCACACGAGTGGGTATTATACCATGTATACGTGAATCGGGGAAGGAAGCGTGCCTATTAAATGCGAATAGGGGTCGGAAGGGGTGCTAATTGGGATTGTTCACTAGCCAATATATTAGCAAATCTTGACGTGGGCGCTTATTATGTCAAATACGGTATAGCAACTTGTGCAGTTAGTTTGTGAATCTTAAGGGCCCATGCTACATGGTTTGATAAAAGCTTGGAAAGTAGACGCTGGTTGTGTTGGCAACTTGTTGGTTGTCAGTTTGCAAAAGGAAACTGGGATCAGGAAAGTAAAGTGGGCAGGTGATTGGAAATAATTGATTTTACGTCAATATATGAGTCAATAAATCTTCATTGGGATGAATTGCAATTGAAGGCTTCTATGTGATACATCAAATCAAAAGTTGAGATAGAGGTTTCCTTTTGCATGAGAGATTATGTAAATAAACATAGCTGCTGGAACCATATAATAAATGGAGTGGTTCACTGAGATATTGTGTTCCATTGTTATTCCTACGTAAAGTTAGATTAGGAAGTTAAAATATGTGTAATGATAAATTTAACATTGACATTATATTACTAAAATCTATTTTACTCTCCTGTGTTTCCATTTCATAAATGTCATACTTAAGGAATAAATGTATTTATTATGATTGCCGAAGGTTTGCGGAATACAACTGTTATTTGTGATAAAAGATATGGCTTCCCAGCTGTTTTCATGATGAGTGGATGCACTCTTCTCTCTGCTTGTAGACCAGCGTGACCTTGTACATACAGATGGAGCTGTGTAGTCACACCCTGGCAGACTGGCTGGTTCAGAGGAATGAGGCAATCAAAGACTCAGGTGAGGAGAACATTGATGTATGAAAAGTAGCGTAAAATTGTTTGACAAAGGTCAGAATTATTACCTGGTATCCATTTTTTAACATGGCTGAAAAAGCATTCATGTGAGAATGTCACTTTTGTCACCTTGTGTTGCCATTTATTTACAGGTGATTACCGTATTTGACGTAATAAGCGCCCACAGCGATATTTGTTAATATATTGGCGAGGGAACAATCCCAATTAGCACCCCTTCCGATCTATCAATGTACACAAGACTTATTTATTCGTGAATATAAGTGTTAATTATCCTTAATTATGGGCAATTAAATTCGGGTAAAATATATCTGTCATATATAAACATTTCAGACTGTCAGCATAAACCACGAAATTTACGATCTTTCAACTCTGTTGTTTTTCACCGAGAGAATATTGTAATAAGAGCCCCCTATTTCTAATTTTGAGAGCGCTTATTATGTCGAATAAGGTATGTAATATGGTATGTAAATTATATGTAGTGAAAAAACATGAGTTTTTACCCTTTTATGACATTGATAGTCCAGGTTGTTACAAAATCAGAATTTGTTGTGTAATATTGTTAATATCAGAACAAGGTGAGCTACAGAACCTAATGGTTGTATTTACCCGACATTTTGTTGGCAATCAGTAGAGGATTCTACTATCTACTGTTACTGGAAGAAATGTAAGATTGCTCATGTCTGAAATAAATTTAAAATGTTTATTTTAGATCTGAAGAACATTGATAGTGACAATATGAGGATATTTCATCAACTTCTACGAGGGGTTGACTACATCCACTCACAAGGCCTAATGCATAGGGACCTTAAGGTAAGTCACACAGAACATGATATGAAGGAGCTTTGCTTTGCCTGCAGCTTGCTCAATTGCTTTCATGACTCAAATTTACTCGTACCCACCAGCTAGTTTGTCTAATGTTAAGGGTATCCCTAGGGCTAGTTTCAGGCAGTTTAGGGATGTCCTGGTTTAGATTTGATTATTTACAGGCCTCCGTCATAGAGCTGGAATACTGCTAAGTGTGGCATTAAACTACAAAGAAACATCAAATCCTGTATATGTTAGGACAACAGACAACAGACTTGGCCGGTTGTGAAGAAGACGCGGACTCATGATTCTCTCCATGTTTGATTTCAGCCGAGGAATATTTTCCTCCAAGGTTCATCCCTCCATGTGAAGATCGGAGACTTTGGTCTGGCTACGGAGGACATCATGAGCAATGACGGAGAAACTGTGTTATCTCCCCCTGGATATAAAGGTACAAAAACACAGAAATCGGGTGAAACAAAATACTAATTTTCAGGCCCTTCCTCATCAGAGAAAGACCACCACAAAGTCTTGAAAGCTGGTATAGCTGCTTTTCAAGAAAACATGCAAATTCACTCTCAAATAAATAGACATACAAATGTACCACTAAAAACAAGTTAAGGACCACACGATTCTTTCACTTTGCTATACATTAAATTACGGTTATAACGAACACGCTTGTAATGAACTGACGGATATAAAAAATTTATTTTTTGGTCCCGTCCATTTGCTGTATATATGCTGTATATATGCTTATAACGAACTATGGTTATAACGAATCAGGTGGTCCTTAACTTCTTTTGAGTATTTTATGTACAATTTTTAAGCAGTGACATTTTGTAACAAAAGGGAAAATAGGATTATTTTTAGTTCATCGAACTAAAGTTCATGTGAGCTTACGTTTGTCATCTACATAACCAACATCTCTGAAACCACAAGGTTGATGGAGCTAAAACTTAAGACTTTGGAAGAACCCAGCAATATTTTCATACATCAAAGATAGTTTCATTTATTTCGATTTTTATACTGGCATGACATTAGACCTTCGTGTTCTCTTGCTACATCTAGAGGAACCTCATTTTAGACTGAAACCACTTATAATGCACAAATTTTTATTTTGGATCCCCATCTCTGCTGTAATAAGAATTAATTGCTACCGTAAAATGTCTACATGTGGCCCAAATTTGAGCTATCAACTTTTGACCATCGTGTTATTTGATGAGCAGTCAGTATGTGTAAAATCTAACATCATGCACATGATGGTGGGTTGCCCCTCCCTTGCCCCTTCATCCATCATTAACTTCTACATTTTAGACATCTCTGAATCTGCAGATTCTGTGAAGCTGAAACTTCGGATGGATGATCCTGAAAATGGTGATATTGAAATTTACTTACTGGAATTAAGTCCAGTTTCAGACACATTGAAAATGGCTAACCCAACCATTGATCAAATAATGAATAATTGAGTAATGAATTCGGTTCATACTTAGTGTTTGTATTGCCTGTTATAACCGTTTGTTAACACCTTTGTTTGGTACTCAGATACTCTACCATTCAATCATTGAGTACTTTGAGGATCTCATCGATGGTATCATGAACAAAATGTTTGGATTGTAAACTTGTTTAAAGGCCGTAATAAATTTGTTGTTAATAATCAGATTTTCATCCATTTTATTCAGCAACCCCTGTGAAATTGGACTGCTTTAAGGTTTGGTTGTAATTTGACAGTTGACATGGCATTGATTTTCCAAGATCTACTACACAAAAATTATTGATATTAAAGATAATTCTTCCATGGACCTCTTCCAAATGGCCCTGGGATTTCTTTTGACACATGTTATGACAAGGTCAAGGGTCATGGTCAAGAGATAGGTCAAAGTAAATATTTTTTGGTTTTGAAGGATTTATTTATTGTTAAACTACTGAGTACATACCTTCTCTAGGGTGAGCCATGATTTGAAAAGATTTGGGTTAAGACTAGTCAAAGGTCAAGGTCAAGGTGAAACATAATCTGCTTCGGAGGCATGGTTACCTCTACAGGCATGGAACCTAATATGTACATGTTTCTTAACAAATCCTACCACATTGTGTGTCAATTGAATTGTGCCAAAGGTGCCAAAGGTGCCAAGTTATGTTCAAATTTGGATGTTTGATAGTGAAGCAGGCGGGAATGAAAATCAAACAATAAATTCATTATGGCCTAATCTGTATTCCAAATTACTAAGAGTTGATGTATAATGGTACAGATTTAAAAATAATTGAGCTACAGTGCCTTAAGATAGCACATAGTCGGAAAGAAGTTGTTTCATTTAAGTTGTTTTTGTCAAATAGCTGGAATAATGCTGATTGCAGCATGAAAACCAGCATCAACTTTCATCACTCACACCCCCTTTTGAGTTAGTGAGTGAATGTTGTTGGACATATCTTGTGTTTAGATTGACTCCTGTGTTATTTTAACTCTGTCACTCTTGTCAATGTGTCACAGAAGTGTTCAAGTTCGATCGTCACACAGCCGAGGTGGGGACTCTAACATACGCTGCCCCAGAGCAGCTTAGAGGCTGCATGTATGATAGCAAGGTGAGCTAAAAGGAGAATTAGCATCATAATAATAATAATAACAACAACAACAACATAGGCATTTACATAGTGCCAATATCCTGAATCTACTCCTCAAGTCTGAGTCCAGTAGGGATTACACGCTGTACGTGATTTTGAACAGGTTCAGTAAGGTCTTTCGCTTTCCTGATACTGATTGGGCATTGCTTAAAATGAAAACCTGATTAACTGAAGAGTATTGATTTATCATCACATATTGTCTTATGCCACAATATGTTGACTAGCATACCTAGTGTCGTCTTTGATTAGGAATATACATACTCTGTACAGTCGGTCTTGCTGTTTCCAATGAAAATATCAATACCCAAAAGTCTAAGGCTCTGTTAAATATTTTTCGAAATTTAAGCCAGCAGTATTTTGTATTAAGTCAACGGTGGTAATGATGAAGAAAATCTTAAGGACACAAAGCTAAATATGTTTGATAAAGTATAATACAGTGACAGAAAAACTCATTCACAATTTTTTTAATTTGTTGTGTAATTTGAAACATTGTCTATAAATATTATTTATTGTGTCCTGAGCGGACATATTGACAGTCTAATTATAATCAGATCTTTTACTCCATTGTGATCTCTGTGTGAAGATATTGATCTTGTTGTGGATATTGCATACACCGTCGTTTCTGCATGTCACGGAATCCCCTTACAAGTAGGGTAGCCTAGTGGTTAAAGCCCTCGCTCATCACGCCGAAGACCCGGTTTTCGATTTCCCACAGGAGGACAATGTGTGAAGACCATTCCTGGTGTCCCCTGCCGTGATATTGGTGGAATATTGCTAAAAGCAGCATACAACACATATTTGTGTTTTGTGGTTTTCCAAATTTAAGTTGTAAAGACATGAAACCAAATCATTTGAAGAAGCTGACATCTGATTGTCTCAAGAACACATGTATATTTAATTCATTTAGATTGGGAAGTCAGAGTTCAACCAGGGTTCGCCTGACAAGACCCATGGAGGTGTCGTCAGATTTTAATAAGATTGACGTACTGATATTCTCAAATTGTTGAGGTGCTAAATTTCCAGCTAATGACCACAGTGTAATTTTACATTTTCTTCCACATTCCCAGTGTGACATCTTCAGCCTCGGAGTCATTCTGTTTGAGCAGTACAACTGCTTTGTGACGGAGATGGAGAGACATGCATCTATTACCAGTCTCAAGAAGGGAGATGTACCTCAGATATTCTCCCAGCACTGGCCTGGGCAGGTACGGGTGTTTGTTAGGTCATCGTCCCAAATATTAAACTACAACCATATCTTCATTATTACAGTTGACCCAGGTTTGGAATTCAAACTTGGACAGTTCTATCGACAATTTTATGAAAATATATTTATTTTGCACTGATTTGTTTCACCATTTTATGATCAAATACGGGGCGGTGGGGTAGCCCAGTGATTAAAGCATTCGCTCGCCACGCTGGAGACCCGGGCTCGATTCCCCACAATGTGTGAAGCCCATTTCAGGTGTCCCCTGCTGTGATATTGCTGGAATATTGCTAAAAGTGGCATAAAACCATACTCACTCACTATGATGAAATACTATCAGCCAAAGCTATTTCCAGTCACTGAGAGCATACATACCCATAAGTGTGATGAATTAGACTGTCTTGTCTGGTTTCTTACACATTGTTTAAATCAAGCCCCTGTGTGACCTTGTGCATTGGGATATATTTTACCATGGGTGAGTCCTTCCTTAATATCTCCAGGGCTAACATTTGAGTAAACCTACACTTACCCCTAAATCCATTCCCATGGTTCTTGTGGTCTCAAATTACCTGCCCTTGATTTTCATTAACATTTTACCGACCAATGAAACGTCTAGGAAAGGTAAAAGAAAATGGTAAGGGAGGTGGATATGAAGACAACCTTTCCACAAAAAAATGTTGAGGACTTTCTTTAGCGGGTCAGTCATTTTTTCAGTGTTGAATTTCTCTCATATTCTCTCATAATCAATGGGACTGGCTGCCATGTTGCTACATGTATCACAACCCATGCTAGCCATAAAAGGCGACTATGCTTGTCGTAAAAGGCAACTAATGGGATCGGGTTGTCAGGCTCGCTGACTTGGTTGATACATGTCATCGATCCCAATTGCGTGGATCGATGCACATGGTGTCAATCACTGGATTGTCTGGTCCAGACTTGATTATTTAGACCGCCGTCATATAGCTGGAATATTTCTGAGTGCGGCGTTAAACAACAACCAACCAACATGTATCACAAGCCAACGTTGAGGCTGGTTTGTAAGTTGGTTAGTGTAGGTTTACTGGAATGTGAGCCCTGGAGGTATGGAGGATGGAGAGGGTCTTTCTGCCATTGCTGATCTTTTTTTGTTGTTGATAATGATGAAATATGATTTAGGAAACAACAAACCAAGTAGAAGTATGAAAAGGAATTTAACTTTAGAAAGTTTCTGTTTTTTCCCAGGCCAAGGCAGTGTTCAAGATGACTCACACTGAGCCCCCAGAGCGTCCCTCAGCGAAAGCCCTACTTACAAGTGACCTCTTCCTTACAAAAGATCAGGTACGGGGCCCACTTGCACAAAGCAATCTTAGCACTAAGATGATCGTAACTCCCATACTTTAACATAGGCTTACGATAGTTGTAGCGCTAAGATCACTTTGTGCAAATGGGCCTAGGGTGCTGACCTTCCTCAACAATATATCACAGGGTTCTGGGCCCACTTGCACAAAGCGATCATAGCTTTAAGATGATCGTAACTTCCATACTTTAACATAGGCTTAGGATAGTCGTAGCACTAAGATCGCTTTGTGCAAGTGGGCCCTGGAAAAGTCATGGAATTTTAGTTTGAGTTACCCAGGACAACAAATGTGTTTTTGAAAATGGAAAGTTGTTATATATCATGTAATAGTCACGGAAAAGTCATGGAAAATATAGTAATTAAAATAGTCATTGATAACATTCTCAACCACACTCTGAACCACAATCTCAACAGCACTCGCACCCAACCACTCCATGTTTCCAGATATAGTCAAATCCTTACCTTCATCATTCATCATTACAGATCATCTACAACCTGCAGAAGAAGGTGTCAGAGCAGGAGGGTGACCTAGACACGCTCCGCCAAGACCTGGGGGACAGAGACCGCCTCCTGAAGGACGTGGTGAGGGAGAGGGAGGAGAGAGACAGAACTATTGCTCAGCTTCAGGAAGAACTGGACAGGCTAAGAATTCAGATGTTTAACTCACCAAGCTCTAACCAGTGAAGAGAGTTACAGAGGTCTTTCTGTGAGAAGTTTGAATCATTGTCAAGTCACAGGGTAAACAGGAAGATGACAGAGTCCAAGAGACAGGGCCTGACAGAGTTATGTATTGTCCTGTTGTAAAGAACCAAGTGTGTTTCATTGTGACACAACTTTCATATGGTGCTTGATGAATGAAATCCAACATACATTGTGCAATTGTTTCTGATAGACTGGATGAACACTATTTATTATGTTGAGTGATAATACCTGTCATCATATGTTTCATCAGGGAGGACAGTTATCTCAGGTTTTGTGGAAGAATATGAACATCACCTCATCATCATCATCATCATCATCCATGAAGGACAAGCCCAGTGGGGAACTGGGTTAGAATTGCTCCCCAGAAACATTCTGGTCTTAAGAGGCGACTTAATGGATCGGGAGGTCAGATTCGGTGACTTGGTTGATTGCATGTCATTGTACGTGAAGGTGTGGACTGTTGCTCACAATATCAATCACTGAATTGTATGGTCCAAACTCAATTATTTATGGGCTGCCGTCATATAGCTGGAATATTGCTGAGTGAGGTGTAAAGCAACAAACTAAACCATGGAGGACAAGGTATGACAAGGGCCCTTTCTTGCCCACAGGGTCTGCAACATTAAGAAATGAGTACCGGTAAAACCTTTACAATTGTTATGAAATTTAGCAGTTGTGTTCCCGTGAATGAGAATTATACCTATTTCTTTTCAATGCTTGCTTGTTTTTAACTTATTACAACACCCAAGTGTAAAGGTAAAATATGTAAAACACAATGATCATAGAGGTTTTCAGAATTTATTTTTTGTCATTATGATGACATATATATCTGTCGTGTATAATATGCACAGACTTTTCTTTTGTATCATTTCAGGCTGTCAGCGTAAACCACAAAATTTATGATCTTTCAACTCTTTCTGGTGTTGAAATATGTGCAATATGAATAGCCTATTTATTATTATATCATGAAGTCTGACTTGTCAACTGTTTATTTGCCCAAAGGTGCGGTGGTGTAGCCTAGTGGACAATTTTCACTTGTCACACGTCACACCGAAGGAACGGGTTTGATTTCCAAAATATGTACAATGTGTGAAGCCCATTTCTGGTGTCCCCTGCTGTGATATTACTGGAATATGGCCAAAAGAAGCATAAAATCAAACACTCACTATTTGCACAAGAGGTTTTTGCAGGACCTGGTTACCTCCCCTTATTAATTGTCCTCATTTTCATACGTTTGGTCACAATTTCATATGTACAGTTGAAAAAGACCACTAGAAATAAGTTTAAGTTGACCTAATAATTAAACTCAGGAAGGAAAAAGGTATTCGTTCTCCTACGAGCTGAAAAAATGTAGATTGTTCTGAACCCAGCCGCCCTCTTGTCAACAGTAGTTTTTGCATGTACATTTGCATCTGTGTAAACAGGACTTCGGTTTAGACAAGGGTACAGATTAGTAAGATAATAGCAGGAGATAGAGAAATAGGAAATAAATATACTTTTGAAAGTAATATTATTGATATTAAGGTAAATTCGGTACCGTAAATGTTGTCCTGTAATGGCAGAAATCTGAATAAGTAAGAATCTGGTTTCAACAGATTCTTCCCTGTATGACTGGCATTGTATATCTGTCTATAAAGACATGGAAAACATGCAACTCACTCACCTGTACTTTACATGGATTTATTCAGAATTCAGTTAGTCATACTGAAACACTTTGAAAAAGCATAGTGGATTTTACTCTTGTGAAGTAACAAGTGACTGGAAGCTTATGTCCAGGCAGGACAACGAGAATGAGAATTCAGACTTCATTATTGCAATGTTACAAACCTTCAGGCCTCATAGGGGGCACGGGTGGCCCAGTGGTCTAAGGCGCCGCGATTCGCTGTGCAGAGTTGCATCCCTTGGACACACCAGAAACCTATGATTGTGGGTTCAAATCCTGGTTCACCCCGATTATGTTTCTAGGTTTGTCAGCACCATACCCGTGCTCGTGGGTTTCACCGAAGTGGTAAACGTCTGAGACCTGCATCACTTCGGGCTTTCCTCCCACATTAAGCTGACACGCCGCGATATAACTGGAATACTGTTAAAAGTGGCGTTAACCCCAACTCACTCATTCACTCACTCATGACCACAAAGCAATTTCTTTTTTTTCCTACAGTTTGCTTAAAATTATTTCCCAAGTTCCACTATGCTTTTTTATGGCGTGTCAGTATAAAAAGGGTAACTTTTAAACACATCTTTGAAAAGGCCTTCCGTTTGGATGCCTTGCTTTGAAAAAGATTAATCGTAATAAGACCTTGAAAATGCCTTTGTTTGGTAATCCTTAAAAATCAACATTGCAATTATTTTTTGTTTACAAGATACCGATACAGATTCAGATACAAATAGATACAATACATGATCTTAGCAATATATAATCACTGCAAATGTTGCAGCAAGATGAAGATTCAGTTGTTAAGGACAATTTACGTGTGTTTTTATAGATTTTTGACGTAATATGGTCTTAGATAGGATGACTGAATTTCTGTGTGTATCGTCAGATGAGTTGTGATGTTATCCATTCCAATATGAACAGTGTGCTTGTCAAGTTATATTAATTCTCATTGTGTACAGATTGAAACATTTATATTCTTTGTAAGCAGTGCCATTTTGCTCATGACAATAATGACTATATATATAAAGAATAGTGTTAATATTGTATTAAGAATATATGTGATACCAAGGATGAGAGGAATGTGTTGTTGAATGACTGAGATGGGACTTGATAGGGAAGTCTTGTAGAAAGGGAACAACTGCTTTGAAAATCATTCGCAATATAATCATATTGTATATTTACCAGCCTGGGGCACAATCTAAAAAGCATTCGTAGCGCTACAACAGTCGTAACTCTTTGGTAAAGCATTTGAGTTACGGTAAGTGCTTCGATGGCTCTGTGGATTGGGCCCCAGAACTTCATGGTGTGCACTCCTTCCTCTATCATGCTTTGGATATTAGTATCCTCATGTCCATATCACAGATTCAATATATTCATCATTATTTGTGATCATGAATATTTCATTGATAAAAAATTACCTTATTTTGAAAAATGACTGTTGACGATGATTTACCAAAACAAACAGGTGCCCGTCTGAAAATTGTATGTTTACACACAAACGTAAATTTACACACATAAGTGAATAAGTTTACAAGGTATACATGGCGTGATCTGTCAGCATTTTTACAACAGTGACATCATGACAATATGCTACTCCATTGTTGCCTGAGGTATTATGTAGGTCACGGAATAAGCAGAGTGGATGATATTGGGTAAAGATGGATGCTGACAAAGAGAGAGTGAGACTTCACAGGGATTTATGGCTGATGTTGGTTGATGTGTTTGAGGTTGTATTAGAGGGTGGTTGAGCCATGTTACACTAATGATCATGGATCTGTAAATATATTGACATTGTTTAATTAAGGACTATTATTGATGAAAAGTATGTACCAATACACGTATATTTGTGTTTGTTGTTTGTTCAGCAATATTCCTGCTATATCGGGCACGGATGGCCTAGTCGTCTAAGGTGCTACAATTGCTGTTCAGAATTGCATCCATTGGACACGCCAGAAACCTATGATTGTGGGTTCAAATCCTGGTTCTCTCGATTATGTTTCTAGGTTTATGTGCACCATACCTGTGCTCATGGGTTTTGACAAAGTCTGAGACCTGCTTCACTTCAAGCTTTCCTTCCACATTAAACTGACACTCCATGATATAACTGTAATACTATTGAAAGTGGCGTTAATACCCAACTCACTCACTCGCTCAAGATGTTCGTCTTCAGAAACGAAATATAAGAGACCCTTGGTAACAGAGGAAGGCTTGTGTTGAGGATGTTCTGCGATGTACCAGTATATGAACTGTTACAGATGACAAAGCTTAGGGTGGGTGTGTGGAGGATCGTTGCTGGTGACCACTGACTTGTGACTCATGACAATCCTGGTTAGAAAAGGTCTTCAGCAACACATGCTTGCCGTAACAGGGTCTATGCTTGTCATAAGAGGTGACAAACGGGATCGGGTGGTCAGGCTTGCCGACTTGGTTGATGCATGTCTTCGTTTCCCAATTGCGTAGATCGATGCTCATAATATCACTGGATTGTCTGGTCCTCACTCGCTTATTTACAGACCGCCATCATATCGCTTGAATATTGCGTTAAACAACAAACAAACAAAACCGTTGACTTGTTCAAATGCTATTATTTATTATGTATGCTATTCATATGCCTCTGTGATACAGCTGGAATATTGCTATATGGCATAAAACAACAGTCATGACAGGTGTGTGTCAAAGATCAATTCAGAGTTTTAGGGCCACGAGCCTGTAGAACATAATATTATAAGATATGGAACGTATAGGAAACAGTTCAAGTAACATTTTTAACAATGAACTGTGTCAGATATTCCCATGGCAAGAGTGTCCACTAGCCTTTGTATCACTAGCCTTTGTATCACTAGCCTTTGTATCACTAGCCTTTGTTTCCACCCTTGCTTCATCAAGCCCACTTTCCTGTGTTAAATATGATTGGACTATCGCACATATCGATAGTCCAATCAGAGAACGTTTCACAAAATCAACATCCACGACTGGTACACGTTCGTATGAAAGTGATATACCGCTGCCTGTCTTTGTTGACACGAATATGTCTTTTTCATCTTCTAAACCCCCCAACGATTGCCTATGTTTTTGTGTTGGGGATGAAATCGCGAAAATGTTTTCATTATCTGATCGACTAGGTTGTCGCCTATGGTAGTCGCCATCTTTGTGAAGCTATACGAGATAAGAACAACGATCTGATTGGATATCGCATTTTCATTACAAGGGGCACAACTCATGATCTACGCGAGGTGGCACCAGAGTTATGCCACGAAAAGTGGCCTTGATGTGGCAAGGGTAGAAACTAGGCTTTGATATAGGCTAGTAGACGCTTGCCTCGGGAAGATGGTTTGTGATATAAGTTATTATTGGAGTGACTGTGAGATAGTTTGAGATAGAGTGAGATTCATAGCAAAAAGATTGCGAAGGTTTATGAAATTTACCACTGATGGGTTGTCATTATAATGTTCTAACCTAATGAACTATTCTTAATTAAGTATATGCTTTGCAAATGAGTAAAATATGATATCATTTCCAACATCATTAAATCCAGTGCTGTCATTCTTCAGAAGGACTTGTAAAGGATATTTATTGCATGTAAGCAAGAACAGCTATAAACCAAAGTTTGATTAGTTGAACAAGCCTGCCACATTATATGCGAATGTATACAAACGTTCCAAGTATATGAAAAATTGACATTTTTTAGCCAAAATGCCAACCTGCTTTACAACTTTGTCCAAATTGGCTGCAGTAGGGACACAGTTGTTCTTCATCTTCCCTTGTACGTCTAGACTGCCTCTGTGGTCCAGTGGTAGAGCATCCACCTAGAGAGCAGAAGGTCTGGGGTTCGATCCCCGGCCGCGTGATACCAAAAGACGTTAAAAGATGTTACTTGGTTTTACCCTGTCTGACGCTCAGCATTAAGGGGCTTAAACAAGGACTGGTCGGCTCGGAGTCAGTAGACTGAGAGGGGTATTCATGTTAAACTGCGGAATGGTATCTCAGTTTGCCAGCACTATAAAACGGCATCAGTTCAGGTTAGTACAAGCAGCCACACACACACAAACGTGCATGCACGTAGCTATATAATTGCAATGTACGTAGCTATATAATTGCAATAATCTTGGACGTGATGTCAACCCCATTTCGACCCACATCACCTTGTACGTCTTCCTTTTTCAATCGGGGGCACAGGTGGCCCAGTCGTCTAAGGGGCTGCGATTCGCTGTGCAGAGTTGCGTCCCTTGGGCACGCCAGCTACCTATGATTCTGGGTTCGAATCCTGGTTCATCCAGATTATGTTTCTAGGTTTGTCTGCACCATACCCATGCTCGTGGGTTTCACCGAAGTGGTAAACATCTGAGACCTGCATCACTTCGGGCTTTCCTCCCACATTAAGCTGACACGCCGATATATAACTGGACTGCTGTTAAAAGCGACGTTAAATCCAACTCACTCCTTTTTCAATTATCATGTGGCAGCTGCAGCAGGATCTGGTAAATGTTTGTAGGCCTTCAGTCAATGTGCTTAAAATCCAGTTCTACATTCAGTGTTGATTATGTCACTGTATATATCATTGCTTGTGTACTGCATCAGGGTTCAGGTTGGTTTATTGTTTAACGCCGCACTCAGCAATATTCCAGCTATATGACGGGGGTCTGTAAATAATCGAGTCTGGACCAGACAATCTAGTGATTGATATCATGAGCATCAATCCATGCAATTGGGATTGATGAAGTGCATCAACCAAGTCAGCGAGCCTGACCACCCGATCCCATTAGTCGCCTTTTACGACAAGCATAGTCTCCTTTTACGGCAAGCATGGGTTGCTGAAGACCTATTCTACCCCGGATCTTCATGGGTCATCAGGGTTCAGAGATTATATCAACTCAGATCAAGTGGAACTGCCTTCCAGATCTATCAGCAGACATTTGTCTTCTTCATAACTTTAATTTTGTTCATACATCATCACTGGCAATATAAACATCCATTTTCTAACGTTTCTCATTATGTTTGTTATTTTAGAATGTAAATGCTGTCAATATTTCAATCCGTGGTTGCTTAGAGTGATGCTGAAGTTACTTGTACTATGAAATGAAATTTATTAAAAAGAGATTTTTTTAAAGCTTACCTGTTATTACATGTAAGTGTGGAGAAAAAACAATATTGCACATGTTTATGTTTTTCATTGCATTTCAAAAGTGCTTGTAGGTATTGATGGACCCCATTCCACACAGTTGCTGTTGTGCTATGATTGTCAGAAGTCTGGGTTAAAGTATGGGTACCCATGCTCTCTACTTATAGATAGTAAAAATTGAGATTGAATAACTGAAATGGAGGACTACATGAGTTGTAGATGCTACAGAGTTATCTCCCTTCCATTAAGCGATGTACAGCCACTCTACAATGTATTTGTTTGTTTGTTGTTTAATGCCACACTCAGCAATATTCCAGCTATATGAAGGTGGTCTGTAAATAAACAAATCTGGACCAGACATTTCAGTGATTGACATCATGAGCTTCGATCCACACAATTGGGATTGATGACATGCATCAACCAAGTCAGCGAGCCTGACCACCCGATCCCATAAGTCGCCTCTTACGACAAGCATAGTCACCTTTTATGGCAAGCATGGGTTGCTGAAGACCTATTCTACCCCGGATCTTCACAGATTCTCTACAATGTAAAAGGATATTCTATAGCATCACTTGAATAGAATTTGTCAAAGAATAAGAAAGTATAGGCCCTACTTAATATGTGGTTTATTCAAATATTTGTTATTTAATTGTTTTGAATTACAAAATGCTAACAGTACGAGAAGGACTACAGAGCAACAAGTTAAAGTGGTACATCAGCCTTCATCCAAAAAGATCCAGTGATAGGTCCCTCTTACAAATGAACAAGCAGTTGAATTTTACTATAGATTTAATTATAGCAGGGCTGGGATGGGTAATTCAGGTACTCGAGTTAGGTGGGTACTGCGTAGGACCCGGATACCCACAGGACTACCGGGACCCTTGTTTAGTCACGTGATGTATTACTTTATGACAAAAACTATGTAGGACTCCATGCTTACACTACAAGTCACTAATGTTCACATTTCTTTCTGACTATGCACCCATTACTTCTGAATTTTATATGTTTGAATAAAGTTAAAACTTTCGTCAACAGTGTATGCATAACCAGATCGTTTTATATGTGTACAATTGTACATCTATATACATTTTGCCAGGGATATGGTCAAACTCTTCACAATTAGACGTTTTGTACCAATCTCTTAGGACCTGCAGTGTCTACCCGGATAGTAAATTTGGACTCGTCCCAGCCCGAAATTATGGAGCCATGCGTGAAAGTGAGACATTGTCTGTGTAAGTAGGGCCATCCTCAGCTGTTGGACTGATATATATAGTACTGTGTTCCAGGTTAGAATATGTGCCCAGTAACCTTTGCTGGTCATAAGAGGCAACCAATTGGATTGGGAGGTAAGACTCAAGGACTTGGTTGATAGCGTCTCATCACACCCCAAACAGAGTCTTCAGCAACCCATGCTTGCCATAACAGGCGACCATACTTGTCATAAGAGGCGACTAATAGGATCGGGGGGTCAGGCTTGCCGACTTGGTTGATGCATGTCATAGATCCCAAATGCATGGATCGATGCTCATTATATTAATCACTGGATTGTCTGTTCCAGGCTTGAATATTCACATACCACCCTCATATGACTGGAATAGTGTGGCATTACACAACAACAACAAATATGTGTACATAATAAAATTATGGCTTGCAGACAAACACTGTCATTATTGAATGGTTTGAATCAATCTTGCTAGTATCTCTAAGTGGTGTTTTAGAATCTGTAGCCTTAACAAAGACAGCTAGGGTTTCAGCTTAATTTTCCTTAAATGCAATGTTTCAATACAGCTGCTAGCATTTGGACTGCATATATGCCTGAGTTTAGTCCCCCTGAAACTGTGTCAGCCTCGGCAATGTATATTTAATGAGGAAGATTACCAAACATTTCACTCAGAAGCAGGGAGGAGGTGTGTACATGGCTGTCAGTCTGCCAACCATACCTGGATCGTCAGTTGGAGATCCGGGTCCATCAGATCTTTTACACTGCAGGACGTCAGGTAAGAAATAGGGGAGAGATCTGGTTAGGAATCAATTCTTTGTTCGGAATTCTAATTTTGTTGTCAAGTTTAGTGTCTATTTTGAAGTCTGTAAAATCAGAATTACAATTTCCAATTGTATCTTGTTGATTTGGATTTTGAGTATTTGTATCTTTATATTTTTTCTTGATCCTTTTAATCTTTGGTTGTATTTCCACAGTAATTTTATAACATTTTTGTCCACCTTAATTCAATAATGAGATTTCCGGTGACAAAAAGGAATGTTAGCATTTTTGTAAACTGTTTCCAGTTCATGTGTGGTGTATTTATTCTGGTCATATCATGTTGCTTAATATCAGGTTAATGTTTGCATTTCTTCATATAAAAAATTATATAATATAGATACATGTATTTCTAAAATACTGTTTGCTTTTTGTTCAGTCATGACTACTCTGAGGGTTACCATGGTTACAATAACGTGTTTCACTATGGTTGCCGTCTTGTTGACAACTGTCATGGCTGTTCCGGCTCAAGGTTTGAACTTTACCGTGATCATATGATAAAATCTACAAAGCTATTGTATTCTAACACTTTGACAGTTGTTCAGTTTAGAGGAAAGCTCACTAGCAGGGATGTGGTGTTGAAAGACCAATGATTATTAAAAGAATTAATCTTGAATTCAAATTCAACCAACAGATTCTAGCAATTGGCAACTAAGACCACTGGACCACTACATGTACCTCGTATCTGGTTACAATTATTGTTCCTAATGGGGGCGGTGGGGTAGCCTAGTGGTTAAAGTGTTCACTTGTCACGCCAAACAACCTGGGTGTTTGATTCCCCACATGGGTACAATGTGTGAAGCCCATTTCTGGTGTCCCTCGCCGTGATATTGCTGGAATATTGCTAAAAGCGACGTAAAACAATACTCACTCACTATTGTTCCTTATAACCCATTCTTTGCTGTTGTTGCTGGGACAGTGGTCTGAAGTGCATTGTTCCCTGTCCAGAGTTGCTTCCCTTAGCTATGCCAGGATCTGCTGATTGGATTGTGATCATTATGCCAAAGTGGAAAAGATGCTGCCAGCTGTGTCATTTGGGATTTCTCCCACACTGATTTAGCTGATCTTTATTTCAACAGTCATAGCACTACAACCGCTTTGTAGAACGGTTCCAGTTCCACAAACTTTTCAAAGACGTGACAATACTCTATGACGTAATTGTGTTGCTAGGTTCACTGTCGAAACAATGTTCTGTGACATCAGTCTAGCAACATGGTTGCTGGGGTCTTCAAGTGTGCATAAGCTCCTGGCAGTGATCTATTATTTCTACATGCAATGTTGCTGAATAAGCCCAGCAATGTTCAGAGTTTTCAATGTTTGTTTATTGAATATAGCCTGTGGAGGCGCATTTTTTAGAAAGTGCCAGTTTGTGAAAGTTTATGAAAAGCTGGCTGCTTGTCTTAGTGACATGTGACCTACAGCAGAGATTACCTTCATGAAAAGTTGTACAAAATTCTAAAAGTGCTCCAATAATACTGTCCAAAGTACTATAAAAGCAAACCCACGACCTCAAAGAGGCATGTAATATGGCATTGAACTACCATATTCGACCTAATAAGCGCCCCGCTCTAATAAGCGCCCACGGCGATATTTGCTAATATATTGGCTAGTGAACAATCCCAATTAGCACCCTTCGTGTGTTATATGCACCCTTAATTAATTACGGGAAATTAAATTCCAGAAAAATATATCTGGCGTGTCTAATACGCACAGACTTTTCTTTTGTATCATTTCAGGTTGTCAGCCTAAACCACAAATTTACGATCTTTCAACTCTTTCACCAAAATTATATTCTAATAAGAGCCCCCTCTTTCTAATTTTGAGAGCGCCCTGGGCGATTATTACGTCAAATACGGTACATTACTGTCTGTCACAGTAAATCAGCATCGTCATTACTTCATGGGTTTGTAAACACTACATTCCTCCATCACCTGTGAACACATTGGACCGAGATGCAGTGTCATGGTGACATGTCTAGTTTTGTCAGCTGATGAAATGAGTCATGCATTACTCACAGAAGTCAAAGTATATCATTATATTATACATTTATATAACGCACTTATCCAGACATCTCTGCTCAAATGCGGTTTATATTTGTTCCCCGGTCAGTGGCTACTTATGCTTTCCTTTCATTCTCAACTCCCTGGGATGTATCCCAGTATACAACCCATGCTGACTACAGTCACTAGAAGGTTTTTAAATCCACAGAGGCACATTTGAAATAAGGTACTTGCCCAGGGTGACACCACACAATTATGACACTGGTGTTTCTGGTGTATGTACGTGTTTATGTCTCCACCATCTGATCATCCCGTGAAGATTCCGGGGTAGAATAGGTCTTCAGCAACCCATGCTTGCCTTAAAAGGTGACTATGCTTGTCGTAAGAGGCGACTAACGGGATCGGGTGGCCAGGCTCGCTGACTTGGTTGATGCATGGCATCGGTCCCAATTGCGTGGATCGATGCTCGTGATATTAATCACTGGATTGTCTGGTCCAGACTCGATTATTTACAGACCACCGTCATATAGCTGGAATACTGCTGATTGCGGCGTTAAACAACAACCAACCAACCAACTGATCATCTATCAAATGGATGAGTGGGTTGTTTTCAGTGCAAGAGTGAATGTACTGTACACTGGGGGTAGTGACAACACCGTAAAGTGTAAACATTGTTGGTCCATTGGCTGAATAACAACCTGGTCACAAGCAGGAAAGGATCTCAGCACCTGATGCTTGGTAGCCAGCACTTCACACTGCTTACCCACTCCGCCCCACAAATGAAACCTACTGTGACTTTGTGCAAACCCATTGCCTGACATTGTGACTGTGTTAAGCAGCTAACACAAGTCTGGGCACCTGTTGCACACAATGTCCTGAGATTCAATTACTGTCGTGTGTGTGATGTAAGCTGAATGCTCATTGGTCTGTGTACTTGAATGTTTTCCTCTCTCTGGAACCAGGCCACAGTTTTATATGGGGGGTTGAAGATAGCAACTACACTGCAAAGCAAAGCGTATGTATTCAGTGGTGATGGAGGAACGTAGTGTATACAAACTCGTGAAGAATTGACGATGTATTTGAGTGAGTGAGTGAGTTGGGTTTAACGCCACTTTTAACAATATTCCAGTTATATCGCGGCGTGTCAGCTTAATGTGGGAGGAAAGTCCGAAGTGATGCAGGTCTCAGACGTTTACCACTTCGGTGAAACCCACGAGCACAGGTATGGTGCTGACAAACCTAGAAACATAATCGGGGCGAACTGGGATTCGAACCCACAATCATAGGTGTACCCAAGGAACGCAACTCTGCACAGCGAATCGTGGCGCCTTAGACGACTGGGCCACCCGTGCCCACCGATGTATTTGAAAACTTAAATTAACTTCCCAGTATAACTATGAGATCTCTTTTCATCATTCAAATATGTAATTCAGATAGTCTGTCATAGATGTAAGGGTCTTGTTCAATACTTTTAAATTATGCTGTTTCAGGGAGTCAGAACAGTAATGACCAGGCCCTGGAACCTGGACAAGGTCAGTTGTTTGTTTGTTTGTTTCTTGTTTACGCTGCACTCAGCTATATGCCAGCTATATGATGTCGGGTCTGTAAATAATCAAGTCTGGAAAAGACGACCCATTGAGTGATATGAGTATCAATCCATGTAATTGGGATACGATGACATGCTTCAACCAAGTCAGCTAGCCGTTCCCGTTAGTCACCTCTTATAACAAGCATCGGTTGCTGAAGACCCCGATCTTCATGGTTCGGACAAAGTAAGTAAAAGGCAGACTCAGTGACTTGGCACACCATGTCATTGTTCTCTGATGGTAGGTACCTTTGCTCATACTTGCTGGTTTGTCTGGTCCAGACTTGACTATTTATAGCCGCGGGGATAGCTGGAATATTGCTCACTGCAGCATTAGGCAACACGCCCGCTTCTTGTATTTCAAGATGTTTTCTTTACCAGCAGACCGTTTTTATCTACTATCGAAATAGTTGAAATGCTTGGATTGTCTGGTCCAGACTTGATTATTTACAGACCGCCGTCATATAGCTGGAATATTGCTGAGTGCGACATTAAACAGATGCAAGCGTGTCTGCTTCTGTCAAGGAAATACCAATGGTGTCTACTGTGAACAAGGGTAGGTAGCCATTGTTTGACGTTGTACAGACTTCATTCTTGTAATGCAAGCTGCACCAGGTAAATCAACTGAATTAACTATGACATGGTCTCATCTAATCTTTTAAACAGGTGGGCAATGGGCCCCCAGCAACCTATGCTTGCTGTACGAGGTGACTGAATTAATTGTGTTGTCAGACAATTTTGTTCATTGTATGTCGTTGTACTTCTACGTCATAGGATGTTGCTCATAATATCCATCTCTGGTTTGTCTGGTCCACACTAGAATTTTTACAGGTTGCAGTCATATATCTGGAATATTGCCAAGTGTGTTGTTAAACAATATATACTTGCCAAAAAAAACTGTGATCTATTGAAACATATACGTATTAAGAAGACATGTTTCCAATGTGTACCACTAAATGACAAAACTAACAATTAGTTAAGTGTTACCATAGTGTCCTTACTCTTATCATGATATGCTGCACATGATTTCCAAACTTTACATGCTAATCCTGGACGAGACAAATGGTGCATCTCGGGTAATGGATTTATGATGTCACATGTGATGAGCATATGTGATGCTTCCATGAGCATCGGTTCACACAACATACCAGTATGTTCATTTGTGCATCGAACCACTCTAATATCTCTTGAAAATGAGTAATTTGTATATTAGCCAACATGTATGGTATTTTTTCAGTTCTATGCCCTGTTTGTTTGTTGTTTAACGCCACACTCAGCAATATTCCAGGTATATGATGGCAGTCTGTAAATAATCAAGTCTGGACTAGACAATCCAGTGATTGACATCATGAGCATCGATCCACGCAATTGGGGTACAAAGACATGCATCAACCAAGTCAGCGAGCCTGACCACCCGATTGCCTCTAACATGGGTTGCTGAAGACCTATTCTACCTCGGATCGTCACGGGTCTCAGCTCTGTGCCGGATTAAGATTCAGGGTTATTCAGGCAGAACTTGATGACCATTTGTCGGCCATGCCACAATTTGTTTCACGGAGTTGCAGACCTTGCGCAAGTCAGAAAACAATGATCATGGGTGTTAATCCCTTATCATTCTGATTGTTTCTGGGTGTGTCAGCACCATACCCATGCTTGTCGGTTTAACCAAAGTGGTCAATGTCTAAGACCTGCATCACTTCAGGATTTGCTCCCACATCAAGCTGACAGTGTAGTATGACTGAAATTCTGTGAGTGAGTGAGTGAGTATGGTTTTACGCTGCTTTTAGCAATATTCCAGCAATATCATGGCAGGGGACACCAGAAATGGGCTTCACACATTGTACCCATGTTTGGAATCGAACGAGCTAACGCTTTAACCACTAGGCTACCCGACCACCCCCTGAAATTCTGTACAAAGTGGTGTTAAACCACTCACTCATTATAACCATACACATATATTCAGTCTCAGTTACCACTCAGGTAGCTGAATTATGTTTTCTTTTTCCATATTATCTGATACCTAAAGTCTTCTGATGTTTCAGATGCACAAGGTAAAAAGATGGTTCAAGGTCCATATTACCAGGAAGAAGGTCACTCTTCAAGGTCACTGATCAAATAAAACAAACTCAGCAATTATGTATTTGATTTATTTGTTGATAATATCAGGATGATTATTTACATTATGATATGAAATGACAGCTATTGACATAGTGGTCACCATAGAAATGTGTAATATTATCCACACAACTACTTCCACTGAATGTCAAATCTAGCAACATGGAATGAAGAAGGGCAAGAGAAAATGTCAACTATGAAAACATTGTAAGTAGTGATGTGGAAATGTGTATTTTCTCTTACTGACACGAGATCTTTGAATAATGTCAAACATTCTAATACATTGTCATATTTACTGTCAAATATAGTGGCTTATATTGAGCAGAAATCAATTTTCGAGCATGTAAAGGCAACAAGCACCATCCCTTATCGATTCTGAAGAAATGATACTGCATTGAGTATTTGAAAATTTCCCTTTGTATCTTTAGACAACAGATTTAGAAGATGAAATTAATAAGATTTCATATATAATAAAAAATATATGAAATGTATTTATGAAACAAGCTTTTTTGATCATCACTGTTTTGCTTATAGATTATTCACAGAACATAAAATTAAAGATTGTATAACATAAATGCCAAATTTGGGTTTCACAGAAACTTAGCATTTTGAAACAATCATATTCAATAATTTAATCACAACCAATTCAATATCACACAAAGTATTTGTAAGGAATGTAGCAGAGGCTACGTTTGATTCTTAAACACAAATACTATTTTGATGACAACATATTTTGATCTATACATTGTACCAAGGGGTTATCCTTGTATCACAACTACTTCTAACTATTTTGATCACATTTTCACAGGGTTAGATTTACCTTTTTGATCTCTGTCTGTATCTGGCATACTTGTACAGAGCCAGGACAGGCATAATTTCACCAATTTACTATTCCTAATGTCTAACCCTGATTTTCATATCACACTCTGGAACTGAGGCAGTGCTATCTCACAAATCAGATTGATAATGTGGCACAACATTTCACAACTGTCAGATCTCTGTACAATATAAAACAGAAACACCAGAAAGAACTGTAAATAGCAAAAAACACAGTAAATAATGGACAATCCAAAATATATGTCAGTTTTGAAAAGACTTTCCTGAATTGATGAAGTGGAAATTTTCTGACAGATTCAAGGTAAGAATCATTATAAGAGTGGAGTTAGGAAAATGAATGCCCAAAAAAACAGAAGAGAATAATCAGATCTACAGAAGCTTAGTCTAACATATATTTCATAAACTGCAATGTTTTATCATTAGGAAAATGAATTGCCACTATTCTGTGTACCAGTTACAGCATTAACACTATTACTTTTCTGGAATGTGACAAATAGTGAGTGAGTTGGGTTTAACGCCGCTTTTAACAGTATTACAGTTATATCGTGGCGTGTCAGCTTAATGTTGGAGGAAAGCCCGAAGTGATGAAGGTTTCAGACGTTTACCACTTCGGTGAAACCCACGAGCACGGGTATGGTGCTGACAAACCTAGAAACATAATCGGGGGGAACCGGGATTCGAACCCACAATAATAAGTTTCTGGCGTGCCCAAGGGACGCAACTCTACACAGCGAACCACAGTGCCTTAGATGACTGGGCCACCCGTGCACCCTGTGACAAATAGTGTTTACGTCATGTCTGAATACTACTTTCCTGACAGGTCCTTAAAAATTGATACTCCACCTAAACAATCCGTCTTCCACAGCTGAATGAAACATAAAATCTGTCTAATTCACTAAGGCTCAAAGAAATAAAAGGAAGCTTTAAAATGGGACTTAGCACAATGATGTGAAAAGTATATTATATACAAATCCATCTATGAGCTTATACTGTGACATACTGTAAATCATGAAATTAATGCGAGTATTCTATCTCAACATATGGGAGTTTATTGTCATGTCAGGTTCACTGCGCATGGGCGGAAACGATGGCACATATATATAACAAAGCTCGCAATAAACAATGTAATTGAGCACTAAATTTAGCGCTTTTCTCCACGTTCAGTGTCAAGTGTTGCGTTTGTTTACATAAGTTCATCAAGCAGTTATGACGTTGCCAACCATCTATGCTGATTAAATAAGCTTATAATTACAAGCTAACCAACGTAGTGAACATGTCCAGTACAGCAACAGCAGTCGTGGTAAATACATAACGCTGCTCATCTAACCTATCGCATTTGAATATGCCTTTTTTGGAATATCCAGTTTTTGATTTCATGGAAGTTTGTTGAAGTTATTTTTGTGATGATATCATTCCATCAAACTGCTGTCACCATATACTTTATCACGGAACCTGAAGTCTTGTCTTGGTGTTATTGTTTTCCGATGAGTTCAAAGAAAGGCCTACTCACATTAATTTCACGACGCATTTTAGGCCAAAGGGCAACACTCGCATTAATTTGGTGATGTATTAATTTGGTGATTTACAGTACTTAACCTTCACCCAAGGTGACACTGATACACTTAAGCTTACTTAGTGAAAATATAGGATATATTTCTTGTTTAAAATACAAAAGAACATTGGAATAATGAAGTACATTTGTATTAGTTTGTGGGTTGATCTTATGATTTATAAATAAAAATATCTATTGCAAACAGCATTTCAAGGAGACAAAAAGGCGTCAAAGAACAAAATGTCATCTGGGCTGTATACATAGTTTCAGAATTGTGCATGTGTATAGGGGTGATCTTTTCTGTTATCTCTAAGCTTAACACAATCATTAGATAAATAAAAAATTAACATTATCCATTTTACTTTTCTTGAGGGACCATAACAAACAATAGTGACCCCTTGTCGGTATACCTTTTCTCAAATGAAACAAACACTGACCTCTGCATTAAGTTTTCAAAAGCTGTTGCCCAAGAAAATTGGTAGTTATTATCTCTCACACTGAAATGTAACCTATGCTGTACGTACAAGAGGCATTCCAGATGTTACATTAGGCAATAATTAGTGCCCCTATAATTACTTGTCTGTTATAGTTGTGTGTGTCCAGTTAGTAATTTAACATCTCCATCACATGAAAAGTAAAATAAGAAAATCCTCCCTTATGTTGAACAAGGCAGCGGTCTGATTATCACATAACAATCTTTCTGAGAGTTACCTCCCTTCAATCAGTTCTGTGCTATTCAGCACACAACCAGCTTTGTGTGTTAAAACTGTGGAATAAAAAGTCTATTGTCAAGTTAATACAAACATATCCATTGTAACAAACTGAAGCAATTCACAACTCTGTAAATTGGGCAAAATAAACTGGCAAAACATGGCTAGGAAATAGAATGTAAGCACATCTATATAACTGAATTAATTTCCTGAGATATACATAATCTGCCAACATCAGCTCTAAATACAAACTTAAATAGCATAGTGATGGAACAGTGAAATTAAAATATCAGGAGTGGTGACGATGAGGAACATACAGATATGTCTGTGAGGGTCATTGGTGATTAAAACCTATTGGATAACATGTTAGAATCTAAAACAATGTACAATAAATAAACATGTAAAACAGCAATATTAATATGGACAGTCATGTGACTAGCAACCAACAAGCAACGTATATTTGGGCCTATACAGGGGATTCCTAGTCGTAACAATTATTGCTCTGATTCGGACATTTCATCAGTGTTTCTCAAAGGCAGAGGCTAGATTTCTCCATATCAGGGGCCAGAGAGAGTGAGTTTGGTTTAATGTCGCTTTGAAGAACTGTATTTCAGTTATATCACTGTGTGTCAGTTTGATTTCGGAGGGAACCCTAAAGTGATGCAGGTCTAAGACGTTTACCACTTTGGAGAAACAACCAAGCACAGATATGGTGCTGACAAAACTAGAAACTCAATCAGGACGAATGAGGATTTCTTCTGAAACACCTAAGGGAGACAACTCTGCCCAGCGAATCCCATGCCTTAGACAACTGGGCCTCCAAACAGGGTTGAGAGTGAGCATCTTATTTTTGAAGTTTCAGAAGGATCGAAGGACATTCACATTCATGGCTCCCTCAGCCTTTGTCCAGCTCTACCAAACAATCTCATTCAGCAAGACTATAAATTAAATGAGAAATGTCTAAAAATGAATTTGATTTAAAGTCAGTGTGTAAGTGTTACACTCGGTCGTTGCTGAATAAATGTGATTCAATCTTACACTCCACTGGCCAGCCAAGGGAGGTAAGTCTGCAGGCAACATAACCCTGAGGCAACAAGTTGAACTGACCAATGGTAGCTGAGCAATGTGACCAACATTAGTATTCTCATCTTCAGACCTCAGAGTCTGGTTGTTGTAAATACCAAACTTTGATGAAAGAAAACACTTGAAGTTTGATTCTTCAAAAAATGAGTCAACTTTTCAGATAAGATCCTAAAATATTTTCAATTCCTTCAGCCTTATCTCTGTCTTTGAGAAACACTTTGTTTCTTTGTTTGATTTAATTGATGGATTTGACTTGATATTGCTTGGGGAAGCACATGTGCTCAGTTGTTTTGATGACATCGACACTGCATCACGATCTGTGTGAAACAACCATGAAATCATGGCTGTATCTGCCACATGTTGTTGTTCGTTGTTCAACACTGCACTCAGCAATATTCCAGCTATATGATGGCCGTCTGTAAATAATCAAGTCTTGGCCAGACAGTCACGTGACTGACATCATGAGCATCTCCCTATGCCATTGTGATACGATGACATGCATCAAACAAGTCGCCTCTTACGACATGCATGATTGCCATATGTAGAGCAGCAGTTGAAGAGAGAGTGAGTGAGTTGGGTTTAACTATGCTTTGAACGTTGTTTCAGTTAAATCATGCATGTCAGCTCAAGGATGGAAGAAACCACAAAATTGTTGACATGTACCAGTTTGGATCATAATTGGGTGAATATGGGTTTTGAACAATCAGATCCTGTCATGGCTAAGGGACACAACTCTGCATTATAAAACAAATTCAGCTTATACCATGCAACCGATGACCTGATCAGGTAATATATAGTCAGAAATATCTGGTTGGTTGACTTTCAGAAGGTATTGTGAACTAACAATTAACAAATGTTTGGTGTACATGGACATTGTCTCTGAATTATTCATTGGAATTAACCCCAACAGCATCAACCTTACAAATAAAATCCAGGGAGGCATATTCCCTGTCACTTCAATGCCATCCATTGGATGACTGACCTTCAACAAACACAAATTGTATTCTTCAAAGATCACACGAAATATATTTCCAAATCTGTATGGAAACTATACAAGAACACTTCCATCAATCAAACCAACAGCTCTGTCAGAATCGTATGAAAGCCCTAGCTAGATCAACAGTTCTAAAATTTGTACGTGCGTTGTGAAATATTTGGAAGACTACGGGTCCTGAATAAAATCTATATACAGTAACACTTGCAGGTTAAATGGTGGCCCTCCAGTTTACTGGCAGCTAGATACATCAATTGTCGTCATACACGTCAGATGTCAGTCAAATTATAGCCGATATTTCACTGACATATATACCAATCGTACAAACTATGTATGATGAAAAAAATATTAAATAACATTTGAAAGATTAGAAAATAATCAAAAGAAATTATTCCCAATATAGGATATTTCCTTGAAATACTGAACTGAAACAACACTTAATCCGGATGTTCATACTACAGTGAAACTATCTGCATCAACAGCTTCATGCAATAATTAATAATGAGTCAGAAGGAATATCAATCATTCATTCCAGGTGTAACTGTCCAGAATGACAGGTGTCCAGAATGGAAAGGTTTACAGGTGGAGTCCTCACAATATAGGTTTCACAGCATAATATTTTCATTCTGTTGTATTTAATGTATTCTAACTGCGGCTTCATAATCTCAAAGGTCACCATGTCAAGGTTAAGAATGTGGTTGCTATGGTAACTAGGTTATTCACATGTTGCTATAGTTACAAGACACCTTTTAAAACAAAAGCTTTTCATATATTCACAAAAATGTACATTGATTATGTTAGCATGATTTTTTTTCTCCTGGGAAACCAAACCTGATCGTAATGGAAATAACTGAATGGTTGATTATACCAAGATGAATGTGCTGTATAAATATACATAAACAAATTTGAAAAGTTCCGGTTTCATGGTTACATATATCAGTTTGAGATTCAAGATTTGTTGAAAGTAACCATTGCTACAGAAATGTCTGTTTTACAGATTCCAGCAAAATGGTAAATGGTGTTTTTATATTTGGTGCCCTTTCCTCTGAAACAAATCTTGGATTTGCAATTATACAAAGCACTAAATATTCTTCCTTCTATCTGAGACAGGCACTTTTGCTACTTTTACTCGGATAAGATACTATTTTTCCTTTGAAGAAAAACTATTCACATGCCTCTAAAATGGGACTAAGTTGAAATATGCTAATTTCATGTTCTTTGGCTTAAATAATTCTTCAGAATTGGTTTTAATTTCTTGTAAATATAAATGGATTAATTTAAAACTCATTTGTCTTAATTGCAACACTAATTTGAATGAAACTAAACAGAAACATCAAATAATTTAAATAAAAAATAAAATTCAGAGAATATGGCAAATATCCAAAATGAACAATTCCTGGATTTGAAGTCAAATGTGATTATCCACACTTCTCATTGGTGATCAGCATCCATCTTGGATTTCACTTGGTGTTTTCTTCCATCGAAGGACAAATGCATCTTGTGTTATCTTCCACACAATCGTAACCATATGTTCCTTGTTTGGAGGAAGGCCTGACAACAAGCTCCAAGTTGGGAGAAAATGTCAGATATCGGATCAAAACGATAGGGGATGTCCACAACTTCTTGTACATTATTAATACATGTATTCCATATATTCCATGTATCCATGTCATTCATGCCACGGAATATCAAAATCCCATGTCCAAATTTCAGCCTTTTTCACACACTGAAAATCACTTCGTTAAATCCAGTTATCTTCAATGTTATAACACAGGCTCAGCTTATCCATCATCGAATGTACCCAAACTGTCACGAGGAATGCTTCCATTGTAAAAGTTTCACCTCATTAGAACCTGAATTTGCACTCACAATTTGCTTTAGCACAGTAGCACAAGATCTCGCCATGCCTCACTTGATGAGGTTGAGCCTCACTTCAGTAGTAGGATCTTTACCCTGGTTGATCAAAGAAATGGACGTGCGGCCTGCTCTAACGATCTCAGTGACCATATCCTTGCAATCACAGCAAATGCTCATTAGGGGGCCTCTCGTCACTTTGGGGGTAACAGGTTTGATTAGCATGGACTGGGACCTCTGCAGAGGTTTCTTGCGGCCAGGGCGGTTGTCGAGGTTGGGTCTCCGGGGCACAATAGGTGTGGGTGGAGACGACCCCGTGGGACTCAAACTGTGAAAAAGAAGATCAGTGTCATCACTTACAGTCTTCAGAGTTATTACCTGTTTTGTTTTTTGTAACCCAAACCTAGTTTATTTGTTTGTTTGCTTATCTGTTTGTTTGCTTGATGTGTAACGCCACACTCAGCAATATTCCAGCTAAATGTCTGTGGTTTGAAATATAATCAGATCTGTACCAGACAAACCAGTGACTGACATCATGAGCATCGATCTACACAGTGATCTCAGATGCTTATCATTTTGATGAAACCCACAGGCATGGGAATCATAATCAAGGGGAATCTGGGATTTGAATCCATAATCATAGGATTCTGGGACGTGTAAGGGACACAACTCTGCACAGAAATTTACAGAACCTAAGACCACTGGGCCACCCATGTCCCCTTGAAAAAACAATCGTGTTGAACCGGGATTTGCACCCATGATCATAGCCAGCAGAAACGCCTAAGGGACACAACTCTGCACATCCTCTTGCAGCACCTTTGACTACAGGACCACCTTTACCCCAGATCTACACCCGTGAGGAGTGACACTTCAACATGTTTTACTTGAACTGTACAACAAACATGGATGAACAGAACTCGATGACTTTACCTTTTATAAGTTTCAATAGCTTCCTTCATCTCGGGGCTGAGAGGCGTCGGACTCAGTGTGTACACAGGGATGTTCTTGAAGTGTTCTGTCGGCACATGCATCTGAAGGCAACCACAACTAGGTTAAAGTACGTCATCAACGGACATTACATGAGCAGTATCCATGCTGTTTAATGTAATAATCTTGAAGGTAAGCCAAACGATGGAGCCTCATAACCAAGAAAATGGATATTGATGAAATTAGTTTTTCTACATCATTGATTTCCAAATGATTCAGATTGTCTGGCGGCCATTGTTCCTGTTACCAAAGTACTTCCTCACTGAACACCATGATTGGAGACGAGAATCGTTTCTCTGCATCCAGATCAGGTTCAACTGTTTTTATTACTTGGATGTCAGAGTCAGCTGTCTGACTTTAGAAAGTGGTAGTAAAAAATTAAAATAAATTTGGAAATTTCTTCTGAATACATTTTTTTATATTAAGCACAGCCATAGCACTGTAGCTCACTTGCAACTATAGCAATAGCATAAGGGTTAGAAGTGAGTGAGTAGGCTGGGTTTAATCACGGCGCCTTAGACGACTGGGCCACCCGTGCACCCCATAAGGGTTAGAAAACAATGAAACAGTGTCTGTGTCTAAAACAGATCTGTTCATGCTTTGTTCCCAACATTTCTTTTCAAATAAAAAAACCCATAACAGCTGACATTTTTCTGTCTGTTATGTGCCTCTTTATGTGTCATCCTTCAACTGAAGGCTGATCTGAATATGCCTTCACACAACATGTTGGTGTACAGCAGTCAGATCCTCCACGACTCTCACCTTCCTAAGGCACTTGCTGCACACTGTCCGCTTACAGAACCGGCACTTCGTCCCCCACTCCCCGAACAGGGCAAACTTGGTGATCTTGCAAGAGAAGCAGAGCTGAAACACAAACATGATGACAGATGAGCAGGTTTTATTGTTTGTTTTGATGCATTCAGCATTATTCGCACTATCTGACGGCGGTCTGTAAATAATCACGTCTGGACAAGATAATCTAGTGAATGACATTATGAGTATCGATCTATGCAATTGGGATATGATAACACGCATCAACCAAGTCAGCGAGTCTGACCACCCGATCCCATTAGTCGCCTCTTACGACAAGCATGGGTTGCTGAGGACCAGTTCTAACCTGGATTTACACCAGGTGAATAGCAGGTGCTCCACAGAACTTGCCAATTATATCGATAGGATATTCCGCTTTTTCTGTTAAAGAACATGTTTATCTCATTGAGTAACCTGACAAAATTGATCTTTTCATGAATGACACCGGTTTGACTTGCTCAGGACCAGGACCCAGCAATCTCATTAAAATCAGATCTTAGTTCTCGCTATCGCTAAACAAAGATCTGAGGACATCCCATTACGGGTCACGTCAGAATGACCTTTCATCCAACCAATCAGATCGTCGCTTACCAGATCACGAAAGTGACAGTCGGAATGTGTTTTCTAATAATGCAACCACGATATATTTAACACAGGGTATTCCGAACGACAGTTACAGGTTTTATGATTATATCCATACAATCAAGGCCACCTAAAAGCCATTCAAGAATGTTCTTCTTCAGTTTTAAATTTTTTTAATCGAAAATACATCAAAATATATTTTGAAGCGAAGTCGCCAGTTCGAAACTAGTGTCGTAAAGCTCGAGAAAGCTGCCTTCTGATTGGCCAATGTCGATTTCTTGTCAGTCATTTCAGTGGTCGGTCAAAATTCGCGAAAGGACGTTCTGACGCGACCCGTAATGGGGTGTCCTCAGATCTTTGTTTAGCAGTAGCGCGAAGACTAACATCTGATTTTAATGAGATTGAGGACCCAGCAACCTATACTTGTTAGGATCAGGATCAGTGACTGCATGACATCGTTCTCCAATTGTAAGGATCGTTGCTCATAGTATCAATCACTGGATTTTTGGTCCTGACTCAATTATTTACAGGCTGCTGTCACATTGATGGGGTGTTGTAGTGATGCATTAAAGAACAGATCAATAATTAAGGAAGTATGAAAGACAAAACTGTTGATTAGGTCTTTGAAAGGCATTTAGAAGTGATACACATAAAGAAGAGAATTTATGGATGTCAACTTCTTTATTATGAGGAACACAACGTTTTGCCTATTTTCCGAAATGTTGTGTTCCTCATAATAAAGAAGTTGACATCCATAAATTCTCTTCCTTAAACTGTTGATTGTTTCTGATCTGATGATGCCTCTGACTGACCTTGCTCTTGGCGACCTGTGAATAGAGCTCCGGCTGGGTGATGAGGGACTCCAACTCCGCCTTGGTGAGCACAGTACGGATATGGGTCACCTCCTCCAGGGTGAGGTTCAGACATTCAATGGGGTTCTGCCACTTCTTCTGAAAGAAACCACACTCTTTAAGAACCGCCACACCAGAGCAGATTGAGACAGTTCTGTCACACCAGAGCATACTGAGATGGTTCTACTTTTCATATCCTTGTCCACCTTATTGTGATGTAGGTTAACGTGTACAGAGTTAGTGAGTTGGGTTTAACAATGACTTGAACAGCATTGAAGTAAAACAATACCACTGCATCTCAGCTTAATATGGGAGGCAAACCCAAATTCTGATGTTCAAAACTGTAGTAAAACACATGAGTACAGATACAATGTTCACAAATCAAGGCTCAAAATATGGGACTTGTAACCCCAGTGTAGTTTAAATTAGGTATTAGGACCTTTCAAGCTTTTTAACCCCCAACTGGGGCCTTTGACAGTATTTTGCTGGTCCCAACAAATATCTATACAAGTATGTTTATCGTTGTTTATAACCAGCCCAAAACATCAACTTTACACCAGCTACAAACAAGTTAAAACATTATCATGTGATAGTGTTAATACTTAAATAAAATTAACATGTGATATCTCTGTCTCAAATATTATATCCAAAAACATTTAACAGGTGTTATGATCAAGGGGAAAGTTGCTTGTAATAGTTCTAAATTTGTTGCGTCTTAATTCAAGAATGAAATGAAGACCATTATGTCATAATCTTATCTAAAATACCTCAAAATGAAAGCTTTAACATTATTCCATATTTTGTTACTTTTAGCCTTTATCAAACTTTAATTTAATTAAAAACAACTTCTGAAAGACAAACAAACCAGAAACAAGTGAATTGTATGAGATGAGGATTATAAGTGTGACACATCTAATCTTTTTATTTGTGTGGAATATGAACCCTCAACCTTGACAATGGGACCTCATGAATGTTGCAACTTCAGCTGAAATTTGATTACCATCTCCTACCAAGGACTATTTTCCTTGACCGGACAGAATGAAGCTGCAACTTTCACAAGGTGTGACACTCTATTTGGCCATCATAATGCTATACAAGTCCTGCCCATGGTATATACTGCTGTATTTGTAGAAGCCCCATACACCTGACAACAGAACTGTTCTGACAGAAATGTGACCAGCCCATGCTAAGAATCTACAGTCATATTAATGTGTTAGCAACTTTCTTTAACACCGTTTTGACAATTTTTCAGTCCTTCGTTTACCAGATGGGAGCCATCTTCTCGAGGCAAGGGCATTAACTGACTATAAAAGCCCAGTTCCCTTTGCCGAACTAGGCTGGAATTTCCAGACTTGATCGTATCGCCACCAGTGACTATTATGAGATATGTCCCTTCTATGTCCCTCTTACTGACCATTCAGATTCCATCACTCATATCACTTGCAGTTGCTTCAAACAAAATGGTGGCGGCCAGTCCATATGATCTGATCAATAATCAAGATCCATCTTGTAATAAAATGGGTCTTACATCACTTGGGCACCTTGACTAAAAGCATGAAAAGATTTGCAAAATATCTGTCAATGCCCAATTGGCAGTACACATGCATTGCAAATCCTGCAGTTGACCAAAACCTGCATGTTGAAATCCATGTAGTTTGTTGCGCAATTTTGATAGGACTATGCATAGACACTTGTTAGTCCAGCCAAAATGGAACTCCAGAATACCAGCCTAGTTCGGCAAGAGTGGAAACTGGACTTTTATAGTCAGTTAAACCCCTTGCCTCGGGAAGATGGATGGGAGCCTAAAGTAGCTCAGATCATAATTGATGATGAAGCTGGTTAGGCAAAGTATGGTGCTGCCAAACCAGGGATTGTGGCAAAACTAGGACTGAACCTACTGCCAATGGATCTGGCACAGTTAAAGGGTGCATCTCTGCAGAGCAAGTTTGACCACTGAATATCAGGGTTCCATCATTCACATGAGAAACTCACATACAAGAAAATTCAGGGCCTCATTCTGCAAAGCAATCATAGCGCTACAACTGTCGTAATCCTTTGTCAAAGAATGGGAGTTACAATCATCTTAGCGCTATGATTGCCTTGTGGAATGGGACCTAGTAATGTGAACTTTAGCTAGTTGTTTGAATTCTAAACAAAGGATTACAGATCATAAATAATTTATCTGAATAATTAAATCTAAATAATTTCCAAATCTGTTTTGTCGTCCTCAGGCAAATCAAACTCTGAAGAAAACAGTAAAGAGGAAATGAAACTAGCAAGGAAAAGTTCATGCAAAGAAAGAAACTGCTCCACTCAATCCCTGGGCCCACTTGCACAAAACGATCTTAGCGCTAAGACTATTGTAAGCCTATGTTAAAGTATGGGAGTTAAGATCATCTTAGTGCTAAGATCGCTTTGTGCAAGTGGGCCCTGGTGTATTTGAGAACTAGATAATAGTGACACTTCTTACTATTTAATACCAATACTTCTCAAGTAATTCTAATTTTCTTTAGACTATTATTTTTATGAGTATAAGTACACATTTGTACAGTTTGTTAGATGTAAGCAATGTCATATACATAAATGTACAATTAAACAAATCTCCTCCAAATGTTATACAGACAAAATCATTAGGAATGTTAATTGTTAATGTTAAACAAATGCTTGAAATATCGTAAATAACAATTCTTAAATTCTGGAATTTTTAAAGTGATGATGGGAAAATGCACTGTGCAAATGTTTCTCCAAGGAAAGGGATCTTGTAGAAATTTCAGCAAGAAGTGTATAAGAGTTTCATTTCAAAACACAAGGTGTCAACAACTGCATTTGTCAACAAAACATCAAAACCAACTGGAGTGCGCAAACAGTCACAAACACAGAAGCTTGCTTATTCAGCAGTAAATCGATACCTCTATAACATAGGGATGTCGATAGGGGCGTTGGAAAAGTTCCTGGTAGAATGAAAACTAAAACGGCAAATTGGTAAATATCAAGGAAATGTGTAAATGAAATACATTAAATCTAGCATGCATGAACTACAAGACAAATACACTTCTCAATGTTGCTAAAATATATTCAAGCATTGCTATTCTATAAAACTCATAAATTCAAGCATGTCTGATTAAAACTGTGAGCACATGAGTTAGCATAACAACAAAACAATTTAAAAAAACAATATGGGTTTCTCATGATTAAAATTTGAAATTCTTTAAATTTCTTAACTCTTGTTTCATAGGAAAGAGATATTTATTCCAGTCCTGAAATAGAATCATTTATCACAGTGCAAAATGAGTTCCTGGTGAGACCACGGTGAGACCATGGTGAGACCATGATATCAAGTGACAAGTCTGGTCTGGAGAGCTCTCATCATGTTACTGTGATTAAATCTTCACAAATGACACAGCAATCTCACTATCCGAAAGCAATCTTTGACTACCAGTAGATTTAAAGCAAACAATGAAATATATGGATCCTTGCAGATGATTAGGGTGGATGGATATTAAATTGTTATCAGAAGGAAAGAATTTGACACTCGCCCAAAGCAATTTTCCTCGTGTTGAAGCCATCTTTCAGCTTGTAGAAAAGTTCCATTTTAAACAGTGTGCCTATGTGTTAAAATATGTTGGACGAGGGCTAAAAAAACTGAGTCACTTACAAGGCTTTCATTTTTTTCAATAATAATAATTATTATTATTATTATTATTATCATTATTATTATTATTATTAAAACTCTTTAACCACTGGGCTAGCCCACCAACCTTTATTACAAAAGAACTTAACATACAGGGTCAAAGAATGACCAAATACGAAGTAATCAAATGTGATCCGGCAAATTCTTTTGCTGAAGTCATTATGAATATTTTGAATCCAACATGATGAAGTTCTCCATTGAAATCAGACAAAACAGGAAGTGGTGGGAAGGAACTATGGGTAATGGGTGAGTTAGAGTAAAGACAGTTAGATTACTTACAGGTTTAGGCCGACAGTCTTGACAGTGCGAGTGACCGTTAGACGCTCCATCGCGTGTACATGCAGTTTTCCAGTTCACATGCAAAAGTTCGGATGCATTCAATTCAGACAGATCCACATCACAAACACTATCGGATACATCATGATCCGTGCAATTATCATCGACTTCCGGAATCGCACTTAAACTCCCAGCAGAAGACTTCCTGTGTTCAGTTCGTTCAGACGCCATTTGACGTGAATTATTTTGACTAGTCTGGTGAGCTATCATTTGTCGCCGAATGTTACCGGCACAATACGATGGTGGACTAGTGTAGTGTGAGGAAGAATTCTGGGACAGAAATTCAACTTCCTCTTCCAGCTCTCTCTCTGGGTCTTCCTCTAAGGGAGGTAACTCTTTCTGGATTACCTTGCCCTCTGTCGGCGATTCACACACCATGATCGTGTGTCTCCTTTGAAGTTTGCAAACTCGCTCCGCAGTGGTATGATCTCGTAGGACTGTTATAGAAAAAAGTTACAACTGTCAAAAAGTATTTATTGAAATGTCGAAAAATACTTTCACCCTGCTGTTCTGTATTTTGGTTCTTTCAATTCTCCGTGATGTTGCATCCTTCCGATCATTAGTAAACAATCGTGCCAAAATGACAAACTGTTCAAAATACACCACATTTCACAAATGTGCAGTTTTGTTAACAAGTAACAATTAAACTTTTTGTTATGCTACAACTTCAACAATTGGGGTCAGTTCTGTGCAACATTTCAATACAGTGCAGCCACAGTGATTTTTTCTGGTGGTTGGGGCATGTGCTGGGTGTTTGGAATAGTGGGGAAATCGCAGGCATGGTTGCCTTACAAAAAGGAAACTGCAGGGTCAAGGCAGACGCTCATCTTACCTGATATGCAAACTTGTCAAAATGTGATTCTCCAGTTGAATCTCAAAACAAACCATTGACCTCTATTTACAAATCCTTACAAATCTTCATCCTTGAACTAAATTTGCATCTTTTTGAAAGTGTTTTAGTTTTTCACGAAGAGTTTGAAAATGCTGCATGGCAGAAAGACATGAACTTCTTTCAACATAATCCCTGCATGATATGAACTTCTTTCAACATAATCCCTGCATGATATGAACATCTTTCAACATAATCCCTGCATGATATGAACATCTTTCAACATAATCCCTGCATGATATGAACTTCTTTCAACATAATCCCTGCATGATATGAACATCTTTCAACATAATCCCTGCATGATATGAACATCTTTCAACATAATCCCTGCATCACCGATACAAATATCTTATCCACGTCAATGTAGTGGAAAACATTGTTACATTAAAACTCAAAATATGACAAGCATGATTGATCTATGTTGATTTCACCACACACATGACTATTTCATTTTAGCAGGTAAAAAATAGGGCCAGCTAATCGGAATTATTGTTGATAAGAAGAAATATAATGATTATCGATATGAAAATTGTGTCATCGATATCTTACACTATTGTGATAAAATTCGGTTTTAATTTACCAAAGCAGATTTGTTTTTGTCCATTGCAAAAGACAGAAAGCAATACATCTTAATATCCACAAATTAATACATTCATAAACGTGTCACCACTCACCAGTGTCGTGAAATATGTTGTTTTCTTTCTCAGCTTTTTGCATATTTGCTCAAAGGTACTTCTCGGTTATTTATCGATAACTGATCAATATTTAATTAACGTTAAATGATCTCTAAGATCTATATCAATAGCCAGCCCTAGTTTATTTAAACATCATAAACATTTATCTATCATTTTCAAAATCAGATATTCTGTTACTTTCCCTATAGAATATGATCCGTGTCTATACTAACCAGGACGTTCCATGACAGGCGTGATGTGGTCGTGTACAGGGGACACTGGAGACAGTGGGGAGATCTGGCTCGCCCCCACGTGAATTCTACTCTCCTCTCCAAGGTTGCCCTCGTCGTCAGACAGTTCCTCCTACAACAAGTTACGCGATAACAAGTCTACTTTTTAAAACAAATTTCAAAAACACTTGATTCAAAGGATAAGGATGATATACATATATCCTTGTCATAGCCACCTCGTTAGAATAGGTCTTCAGCAACCTATGCTTGCCGTAAAAGGCGACTTGGTTGATGCATGTCATCACATCCCAGTTGCGTGGATCGATGCTCGTGATGTCAATCACTGGATTGTCTGGTCCAGATTCGCTTATTTACAGACCGCCGTCATATAGCTGGAATATTGCTGAGTGCGGCGTTACAAACAACAAACAAACAAATCATGCCAAACATCTTACACAGCAAATAATTAATTTGTATGATAATTTTTTCGTGTGCAGAATGTTCAAAGACAAGTACAATAAGAGTGAGTGAGGTACTTTGTCGTCACTTTTAACAATATTCCAGCAACTCCCAGTGAATGACACCAGAAATTGAATTCACACATAGTATCCATGTGAGGAAGCGAACCCGGGTCAGGTGACGAGCGAACACATCAGGCACTGCCCCAAGTGCAATACGAAGCTACTAATCAGCTGCACTGAACCACAGTCAGCTCTATCACATCTGCTTGTAAATGATGGAGTCTGACCCAGGCAAACCAGTGGTTGATAGCGTGAGCAACAATCCACACTGGGTACAATGACATACAATCAACCAGATCACACAAACAGTTAAGTGAGTGAGTGTGTATGGTTTTACGCCGCTTTTAGCAATATTCCAGCAATATCATGGCGGGGGACAGCAGAAATGGGCTTCACACATTGTAATCAAACCCGGGTCTCCGACGTGACGAGTGAACGCTTTAACCACTAGGCTACCCGACCGCACCCAAACAGTTAAGTAAGGCCTAAAAAGATACAAGGTACAGACCACTCAGACAAATGTAGTATGTCCAAGACCTCTAACAGTTACACTACTTACCTCAAAACTATTGTTCAGGAGAAGAGTGAAGTCAGGTTTGATTACTTTCCTCACAGGAAGGGGACTTTCATCTGAATCCCCACGATTTAGTTTTGTCCGTGACGTCTCCACTGAAATGGAAATAACAAAATGAAAAAAATGACAATAACGTCATTGAATACCATCTTAACAAATTACACTTATTAGATATCAATATTATCAGTTGCAAACAGATTGTATGAAGGCAAGTAGTGGACAATTACAGTTATCAATATGAACTATCCATCAAAAGTAAGCAATGAACTAGGCAGCTAGGAAAGTGTACAAATAGCTCAGAGAAATTCCTCCACGAAGTACACATCTTAAATGCCATAATTCCAAACATATTAACCAACAGCAGTAGAGACACACCCTAGTACAAAAACATCGTTAATACATTATCCTCAAACTTCAAACTGACTCACAAAACCAAAAAATCCTTACAAAAACAAAGTCACAGTGTCCCTACTCCCTGGACAAAGCCTTCTATGTAAACACTGTCCTAACCCAACAACTTGCAAAGTAATTTGGTCAAACTTGACTGACCACACTTATCATCGCCGGTCAAACAGCAAGTCATGAGAGTAGCTTCAGCAATCAGTCACACGACACATATTTGTCATGTCAGCCTCGCCGTGACAACCGTCCATCGTAAACCCCCACAGGGAGACTCCGCCATAAATGACAGACGAATAACACATTCTGTGTCATTACCTAAGCTTGTGTGAGTGCGAGCATCTGTTGCATAATGGCTGGGTTTTAAGACATATCCTTGTGGATAGTTTTTAAAAAGCATTTCTGGACTTGATTATTTCCTGTTTAGATGTGTTTATTTTCCCTGAAGTATTTGTCACATTACTGTGAGGTGTGCATACTTCGCATTGTATGAATTCCATAAGCATTAGTTGTTCACAGTGGTAATTATGGAAATAAAACTATTTGCATACTCTATCTGATTTTATTGTTCAGTATATATAAAACTGTTTGACAGGTTGAAATTTCCATTTTGCAAAATATCAGACGAAACAAATAATCACACCCGAAATTGAAACTATTACCAGTAATAATTTTATCATGTATAATAAAATTATACTTGAAATTGTTAAATTATATTTTGTCATAATTTATTTTATAAAATGTAAAAATATTTCTTAGTTATCAATCATAAAAATAAAAACAATCATTCAAGTTATATAATTACATATCATATATATTTTTATGTCATAATTTGTTACTTCATATCTGAATAAGGTACCAAATGTTCTTTAACAAACTATACTGTATTTCCTCTATAAGATGTTCAGGCGTCAATTAATTTCACGAGAACCCTTGACACAGCTTGTATTAGAAACCAGCGTGTAATAGAAGAAATATCAATACATTTTACAGTTCCTATGGGTGATTGATCAGCAGCCATTTTTTATGAATCGATATGTAGGCTATCGATGTAATTACACACATTTTTTTTGTATGAAAAGGCTTAATATATTTAAAAGGGGTTTCCCAAGTAAAAAGGAAACCTCTTTTTAACCAATCATAATCAAGCATTCTTCAATGTCATGGTAGAATAGTCTATATCTACTGCTATAAGCAAATACCTTGCATAGCATGAGAACCGAGTTATCTCAGCATCTCATGACATGTGACCTGGCTGATTGTGTGGCATCATACCCCCATAGCATGGTATGCTCATACTATCAACCCCTGGTTTGATGGCCCAGATATGATTACTGCGGGAACATTCCCGATTTAGGCACCGAATAACATTCACTCACTTAATCATGGTAACCAAGGAAACCAACTGACTGCAACAGTGACAGTCATCGGGAATTTACACAGATGGCGGTTATCACAGCAGCTAGTTGTTATTCAACTAATCACAATCAATGTCAAGAGTTAAATACATTTTGTACAGGCTAGCACTTATAACAAACTTACCCTGCTAACAATAGCCTCGATTATAATAGACATATTCATAAACCTCCTTATCATATATAGGCTTCATTAACCTTTAAGGTTTCTATACAAGAGCCACACCATTTAGCAATGAATCACAGGACTCCCGTTTTCATGGCTTGACCCAATTACAAATTACAGTAAAAAGGTGAAAAATGTATTGTTGTCCTGGCTCTTTGGAACTTAAAAAACATGAGGTTTGAATTGATTCCATAAATAAAAAATCTTATGGTTATACAGGGATGAGAATGAATATTTTCCTTTTCAGCTGTAACTTCTTTTCAATGGAGGGTCCATAATTTGGACGTGTTTTATGGGGGATTTTTATCAAATCTGGCACTCAAAATTCACAGAATTCGCGGATCTGCGTAAGATTCTCACCCCTGGTTATATGGACTTGAACATCTTCAGGAATGATTGTCTTTTGAGGGATGATTTCCCAATCCAGTTTTATCCCGACAACACCTGCCGATCATTGTGATTCCAGTTACAAGCACTGTAGTCTTGTGTTGATTGGACAATGTTCATCCAAGGAGTTTTTTACTCCATGTCTTTGTACACAACATGTATAATTCCATCATTTTAAAGTAAGTTAAATATATCACAAAAATCATGTACATTATTAAAGTTCTCCATGAAGAAACATCATGATTAATAAATCCCCAAACTGCAACATGACTCTATCATCACCTACCTCTTGTCAACCCAGTCTGTATAAATCCCACTGAGCTATTAACACTATGGCTGAAGAGAGCCACCAGCCATGATGTCACGTCTCAAGCCAATCAAATGTGGCGAAGCTTTGAAGACAGCTGTCCGATATGTCCCTTTGACATGTCAAATTAACTGACCAACACAGGCATCTAAACATTGGCCCAGTCTGACACTGGTCAGATAAACTATCACCTCCCAATATAGCTGAGATGAGGTCAGTTCACCCTGAAATACTACCGGCTGAATGAGCCTTGAGGGAGAGACATATTTCTGGCCTACCTATTAGTAGAGGCAATGCTGAGGAAAGACCGTGATCACAAATGTGAATTACTTACTTAATATTATACACTTAAGCACACGCCTCAGGCATATTCTGCCACCAAGGCTAATGTCCTTTGAGTGGGAGTTGTCACAATCAGCCTGGGTTAGAAGTTTGCAGTTATATCTGAGACAGTCAGTGCCTCAAGACATACATTTTTGTCTGAGACAGGGCTTCAAGACAAACATGTCTGTCTAAGACAGTCAGCACTTCAAGACATACATTTGTGTCTGAGGCGGTCAGTGCTTCAAGACATACATTTTTGTCTGAGACAGGGCTTCAAGACAAACATGTCTGTCTAAGACAGTCAGCACTTCAAGACATACATTTGTGTCTGAGACGGTCAGCACTTCAAGACATATATTTATGTCTAAGACAGTCAGCACTTCAAGACATACATTTATGTCTGAGGCGGTCAGTGCTTCAAGACATATATTTATGTCTGAGACAGTCAGCACTTCAAGACATACATTTATGTCTGAGACAGGGCTTCAAGACAAACATGACTGTCTAAGACAGTCAGCACTTCAAGACATACATTTGTGTCTGAGGCGGTCAGTGCTTCAAGACATACATTTTTGTCTGAGACAGGGCTTCAAGACAAACATGTCTGTCTAAGACAGTCAGCACTTCAAGACATACATTTGTGTCTGAGGCGGTCAGTGCTTCAAGACATACATTTTTGTCTGAGACAGGGCTTCAAGACAAACATGTCTGTCTAAGACAGTCAGCACTTCAAGACATACATTTGTGTCTGAGACGGTCAGCACTTCAAGACATATATTTATGTCTAAGACAGTCAGCACTTCAAGACATACATTTATGTCTGAGGCGGTCAGTGCTTCAAGACATATATTTATGTCTGAGACAGTCAGCACTTCAAGACATACATTTATGTCTGAGACAGTCAGCACTTCAAGACATACATTTGTGTCTGAGACGGTCAGCACTTCAAGACATATATTTATGTCTAAGACAGTCAGCACTTCAAGACATACATTTATGTCTGAGGCGGTCAGTGCTTCAAGACATATATTTATGTCTGAGACAGTCAGCACTTCAAGACATACATTTATGTCTGAGACAGTCAGCACTTCAAGACATACATTTATGTCTGAGACAGTCAGCACTTCAAGACATACATTTATGTCTGAGACAGCCAGCGCTTACATTTTTGTTTTCTGAACCGAAGAGTCCTAACAATTTTTTGGAGAGCCGCAACATCCAGCATTCTATTTTCTTATTGTAAAACTTCAGCACAAATGATCTTTTCCCTTTATTTTAAAGAACACATTATTATCATTTTGTTACATCCCACACCATCCCCACCACCACCCAACCCCGAAAAATAAAAGACGAAAGACTTAATATTTATTTGTTTGTGTAATGCTGCAGTCAGCAGTATTCCCGCTGTATCACAACTGTATGTAAACAACGGACTCTGGACCAGACAAACCCGTGCTTTAATTATGAGCAAATTCCCATGGTGTTGGGATACGATGACACGCAATCACCCAAGTCACGAAGCCTGATCACCTGATCCATACAGTCGCCTCTTACGACCAGCATAGGTTGCTGGGGAGATACTCTAACCCGGAATGCCAACAGCGATTGTTGCATAACAATCTTTCAATGTTTCCCCTCAAGAGTAATTGATTGTGCTCTGTACACACAACTACCAATCTATGTAATCATCTAGACATTACTATAAACAATATAACTATGTAACTATTGTCATGCTTCAGTGAACACTACTTACAGATGCCCTTAATATAATATCTTCTGTATGACTTTTTTCATGGGGGGTATCTGTCGTACATAAACATTTCACGCTGTCAGCATAAACCACGAAATTTATTTTCAACTCTGTTTTTCTCACCAAAATAATATTCTATTAAGAGCCCCCTATTTCTAATTTTGAGAGTGCCCTGGCCGCTTATTACGTCGAATACGGTGTGTATTTTCAAACAATGCTTTCTACAGTGATTTATAGTTTTTCTTCAAACTTCTTCACTCAAGACTTTATACTTCATTCCATATGATTTGATAAGGTCAAAAACACTTTTTGTAAACAAAATTATTCAGCTAATGTTACACCTAAGA